ACGCCATCGGAATCTCCGAATGGAGGTTTCCTGCCTCATTAGTCGGAACTTTTTCTGCCTTCGCCCCTCCTTCGTGAATAGCTCGACATATCATAACAGGAGAACGGAGATCGCGTAAACGACAGTAGTTATACACGGCGACCGGCGCTTTCTTACCAAAGATACGGAGAGTGTCCCCAAACGATGCTACCTCCTCAGACGGAAGCATGGCCTGTACTCGTGTACTAAGCAGTGTCCAGTCGTCACGAGTTGCGGAGCCTATCCGCAGGTGATCGAGAGCCTGGCGGAACTGAATCGACTCAACGTCATTACCCTGCTGCCGCACGACTTCATCAAGTTTGATCGTTCGCTCGAATTGGTAGTAGATACTACGCCCATGCCGTTCATCTAGATTTAGATGACTCTTCTGGTTATAAAGAGCAGTTGCCAAGACCGGAGGAAGCTGGAAGAAGTCGCCACAGAGGAGAATACAGAGACCACCGAAAGACTTGTCTACGCCAGGAAAGATCTCGCGGCAACGACGGTCAATATGGGAGAGCTGGCGAAGGCCGATCATAGATTTTTCATCGATAATCAGGTACCGTATACCCCGGAAGGTGGCCTGAGCGGCTTGAAGAGCAGCCGGCCGGAGGGGATCGAGAGAATTGATATTCTGGACAGGAAGACGGAAAAGAGTATGTAGTGTCGACGCGGAGAGACTGTGAGCTGCGACGCCCGTAGGCGCAGCACGAAGAACAGGGTTCGGTAATCTATGCCGTGAAGCTGCCTCCTGGAGATGCGAGGAGATCAGCTGAATAACAAAAGACTTCCCTGTACCCGCCTCGCCATCAACGTTAATCAGAAGCTGAGGCCCAGGAGTGCCTGTCGCAATAACGTGTGCGAAGTGGGTCGTCAGGATATCGTATGTTATACGTTGTTTAGCGTTCAGCTTTTCAACGGTATCAGGTGCGAAGGGAACAGCTTCATGAATATAGGGATACTGGGCCTTTGCAGTGGCCCACCACTCCTTCGTAATCTCATACTTCCCGACATGGGACGCCCAATCGTACTCACGGTCAAGAGGTCGTTGACCAAGGGCATCTGGGTCCTCTAGAACGGTTCTATCGCGACCAGGCAGTTGACCGGCGAGCTCATCCCAGCTCCCTTGCTGATCCTCCTCCTCATTGGCGCCTTCTTCAAACTCATCCTCGTCCGCAAGAACAATAGGGTCGTAATGATCCACCGGATGGTTATGCTGACCATTCACGCAAGACGCGGAATACACCTCAGAATACGACGCAAAAAGCAGACCATCAAGCTCGGGCCGGAGGAGATCATCCATACGGCGGAAGGGGTGATGTAGCATCAGTTTAACGCGACACCAGTCTTCGCGGGTATCGCCGACCGATGAATATCGGGGGAAGTAATTTAACGCCCGCTCCTTCCCTTCTCCTCTCTTCCGAATTGAGTTAACCCGTGCGAATTCATAGCAACGTAGAAACTCAAGATAGGAAATGTCGTTAAACGCTTCAGGTCTTTGCTTATACTTTTGAAGAGGGGAGAGGCCGCTCTGGATAGTCCCATCGTCCTGGATTTCAATTCCTTGGGGCTGCTCCACCTCCGGGCGACAATCGACGGAAATCACCACGCGTGAAGAGACTTGGAGGGGGAGATCAAGAAGAATATGGGAAACCTCCTGGGCTGACCAATCCCGCTCACCAATTAGACGATTCATAATCTTCGTGGTCAGCGAAAGGAATGGCCGGCGCGTATGTTCGGGAACGATCGTTAGGAGATGTTTTAGGATATCGTGGAAGGTGGCCGTCTTCTTCTCTGGTTTTGAGCAGTACTTTCCAAGATACGCTAATACTGCTCGACTCCCTGTACAGGGCGTGATATCGATATTCGCAAGCCAGGCTGTGATAAGGGCAGGGTTGCTGTGATTTAACCGATCATCGTTCCGGATACCGCGAAAGTTAAAGAACCTAGGGTTGCCTTCATCCTTCGTAACCACAGGCACATCCCGGATCCGCCATGGGGCGTAGAAACGACACTCCTTCCGGTCAGTGCGTTTATTCGTACGGAGGCAGTACGCATCACTGCAGTGGTGCCTCTGTACACGGTTGATGATAGCCGAGTAATGGGCCAGTATATTCTCCTGGGTGTGGGGACTTAGCGCGATAGCACTCCGCTCATCCTCTGGTCGCACCCGACGGGAAGGTTCGGGGTTTAACGCCGTGATGTGACCGCCCCAGAACTGCGCAAATTTCTCAAGGGCGGCAGGGAGATCCTCCGTAGGGATACGATCAAGCTCGCTGTTAGGGCAGGCACGGTCTAGCCAGAGGAGGAAATGTGAGTGCGACGAGCCGCGACCCTGCCACTCGTATCGGCCCCATTGATCGCGGATGTTAAACTTAGGATCTACTAAATTCTTGTAGAGAGCCTCACGGCGCCGATGAAAGAGGAAGGCGGCGATATGGGGATAGTCTCGGAGGTTCCGGCGTGAGATTGAGATCCGCTCCGCTGGAGATCCATTACGCCACTCCTCATATTGAGGTAAATGACGCTGTAGATCATCCCAGTGGTAATCGGCGGCCGACAGCGTTAAAAAGATGTCGGGAGACCCAAACCATTGCACGGTAGCTTCAAGCTGCTTACCACGCCCAATCCAATAGGGCCGCGTGCCGCGTAGACTCCCTGAAAAACGGATAATAGAGTTCAGAAGGGCCTGGGCTTCAGGAGAGTCATCCGCAAAAGCAGCACGGAGTTCCTCAAGAGATAGATCATTATGCTCAGGACGTTGACGAACGAAGTAAGATGCACGGGTACTGACCTGTTTCCGGAAAAGAGTGTTAAAAAGGACATACCGTAGGCGCGGATGTTTCGCAAAGCGACCATCGTGGAACCTCATCAGATGCTTAATATATTCACGATACTCTACCTTACGGAGACGGGGATGAACGAAGTCCCCAATACCGCAGGGGAAGCAGCTTGGGAACGCCAGGCTTAGAAGAGCCTGAGAGTGGTTAAACTCAGATAGAGGAGTCAATCTAAACTCAGGCATCGTCAGATGCTCACGTCGACGTTCATGAGCATCATCGACATGCTGCCGAAGTTGCTCCATCTCCGTCTGGGGTTGGAGGAGATCCGGGACTACGGCGACGTAATCTACCTCGTCTCCCGTATCGTCATCGCCGCCTCCTAGCTCTTCTTCCTCAATAGTCTGGACGCCGACCTCTTCCATAATACTATCATCAATAGGAAGATGCTGCACGCGGCTAGGGTCGACGACGACATCGCGATATCCGGGGTGGTAAACCTTTAGATGGGTTAGCAACTGCTCACGACAGATATCTAGGGGGGTGAACCTTGAGATGGGTTAGCCACTGCTCGATGACAGTACGGCGAACACGGTAGTCGCGTCGAAACTGGCGCTGCATACGGGGATCCTGATCCCAATTCGCAGGGCGAAGGACAACGATCTCAAGGTCTTTCGGAAGGAGAGGTAGTCGATTGTATACGCGCCCCACGTCTCTCATGAAGTTGATGATATGTCCTGTATAACGGTACTGAAGACCGTTAACCTTTCGAACCTCCACAGCACAATGGACACGGGCGATAAGGAGCTCCTCTACTTGAGATAACTCAGGAAGATTGTGATGCGACGGGCCCAGACCAGGATTTAAATGATTCTCTGCGGAATACAGCGGTGGTAAATCGCCTCGTTTCCTATCGTCGATCCTACATCGATGACATATACCATCCACGAGACGCATATCAAACCATTTTTCGTCACATTGGGCGCAGTGCTCAAGGTTCAAACTAGCCATCTCCTGGTGGAAGGCCTTAACGTATCCCCAATCCTGCTCGGAAAGATTGGCATCCTGGATGTTGAAATCCCGGGACTGGGGATCGAGGCGAACATCTCCGCGCTGAAGTGCTTCTGTACGACCATCATCTCGCTGTTGACGTGTACGATTGCGTTGCTCATCTCTCCGTTGACGTGTACGATCGCTTTGCTCATCTGTCCGTTGACGTGTACGATCGCGTTGCTCATCTTCCTGATGACGTGTACGGGGTTGCTCATCGCCCTGAATTTGGGATAACCCGGCCAAGGAGATCGGACTTAGACGCCTAAACCCGTTGTCGCCATCATCAGGAGCACCTTGACCTGATTGCGGTTGATGTGAAGGTGATAGCCTCCGTCGTTGGAGATAATCCCCGAACGTTGGTAGCGGCTGGACATTACGGTGTAGACGAGTAGCAGCGCGATGAGCCCGTGACATAGCATTATACTCCCTGCGAGCAGCGGCTCTATCCCCATCGTCTTGGCTATGTATTCCGGCACGGTGGAATAGGGAAGCCTCCCGCCTCCAAGACCTATCGTCCTCAGTGTCGGTTGGTTGCGAGGACGAGGCGTCTCGCGTAGACGTAGCGGCGGGTCGAAGATAGGGGGTCTAATGATGTCAGCTTGAACGTATTCGAATCATTCACTCTACCTACAGCATCACCATGATCGTGGCCGTAACGACATCGCCAGCACTTCTTGACCAGTAGTCGGCGACGCTTCGAAGTAAACTCCTTATCAACCCTCCAGGACCTACAATTCGAGCATACTCTACCACCGGCGTCTCCAGAAGATGACATGTCGGAGGCGTAATAATAGAAGGATAAGTAAGTGGTAGATCAGGAATAAGAAGTAGATTGATTGATTGGTATCCCTACGCCCGTTAGGCCTCCCTGCGAGGCCCATGTGGGAAGAGTGGTGGAGAGGAAAGAGAGCGACAGAAAGTAAACAGTAAAAAGCATCGAAATCACGTGGTTTCCTCTCATAAATCACGTGGTTTCCTTTCGCGAACCCCTGTCTAGCCAATGAGAGGGCAATAAAAAGTTTTTGATTCTACCAATACCACTTAAGTAACTCGCTACGCTCGTGATGAAGCTTCAGATGTGGACTACGAATCTCCCCAGAATGGATAGGTCACGTGGATACCGATATCGACTGAAATCACTCCCGGAGGTAGGTTCTTCTATTGCTTCATGATACTTTCTCCTTGTCGATGATTTTTCCAATAACTACTATTACTCTGCAATGGTGAATCTCATTCTGTTCTGTCGAAGGGGTTTTCCATATTGTCATTGTATACACAGATGAGGCTCTACGCTCAAAGACCTGGGATCCAACATGCACCTGACAATCATGCCCTACATTTTGGAAGAGGTCAGAAAGGCATAGGTGCAAATTCGCTTCATGGACGGCCTCCCAATGAGTTGCCAAAAATCCGAGTCAATCTTCAAGCTTTTGGGTTACAACAACAAATAAAACGTCCGCCGCCTGGGTCATATTTCGTTATGGCTCAGCGGGAGCACTGTTATCTAATCGTAAATCGTAAATCGTCGTCGTATCTCATAATCATCAAGGCATTCATCAACATAAAAAGGAGACGCAGAAGCTTTTTTGTCGTAATCGATCATTTCGTGGACTTGAGGAGGTCTTTCAAACTCTCTTCGGCGTTTGGGGGGACATTCTCTTGTGCGGATGGTCCGGTTGCAGCTGATGATCTCCATAGTCGAGGGAACCATAGAGTGGATTCGGGTCTTCGGAGAACGGGTTGCGTTGGTGCCGCCATATTGGATACTTGGACAGACTCTTCCTGGTGTTCAGAGTTGGTCATCGACGGTTTTGCAACCACGACAACGGAGGGAGGAGTCCTCTCTGATATGACCCAACCAGTGGGCGATCTCACTTCCTTGTGCTCAGATAAATTCTCTTTTGAGCCTTCGCTCCGTCGTGTGTCTGATGTTTTGGACAGTTTGGGTTTCTTGTTCCGCGTTGACCCAGATATGATGCTCCTCAATGAACCGTACGCCGTCATGCGAGCATAACTTGAGGTTGCCGATCCAGGCTTGCTGCCTCCGGATAGCCTTTCACTACTGCTGGACGCCTCCGTCACCGTTGTCAACGTTCGACCGAGAAAGCCTGCCCGGGTGCCTCGATGACCGGCCGGCAGGTTTCCGCCGTAGGATTGGTCTGGCAGTATTTCACCCTGCGGCGGGAGGTGCGCACCATACTCGTCCGCAAGGCTTAAGCGACTCCGCGCACAGATCTCCGCGATGGAGTCGATGTGGTCTCGAATGTCCGGCTCGACGGCTCGTAGGATCCCGGCGAACGAAAACGCGTCGATGGATGGCAGCTTCGCATCTCTGGGCATTACGGCCCCACTGGACGGCGTCGGGGAGCGAACACGCGAGGAAGCACGGATGGACTCGCCGGAGTAAGTCCTAACAATGACGGGCAGCGATGAGAGGGAGGTACGGGAGCTTGGTGATTTCTCGACGCGGTGACGGCGGTTACGGAAGGACAAATGGCTCAATGGGTTCGACCGGCTCGTTCTCTGACCGGCGGAAGACTCCTCGACGGTCAACGGCTTATTTAACGAAGTGGTGGAGGAATTATTGCTACGGAAGAGAGGCAGAATTGACGAGGACGACGGTTGGTGGTGGTGGTGAAGAGGCGAGCGGGAGGTATCAGGCAACGGACCTGGCGAGGATGCCGGGCGATTCGGCCGGTCAGCGAAATCTTCTGCAGCCATGGCCTTTCAGATATCTGCAGTTTGATGCAAGAATACTCGTTAAAGGAGCTATACGCGGACGATGGGGAAAGTCCTCCTCAGACGGAGTAATGTGCGACGGTCAACCTCCATGTACGCGGGGATTTTCGAGGAGCTGCACTGCTGCGTGGACATGATGAGAGCCATTCAATTCCCTGCAAGGAACCTGGATGTTGCACAGCGATCGGGAAAAAGCAACGTTCCGCACATGGACGACTTGGTTGTGGATACATATGATATATTTATCGAGATATTCAAACAATTTCCCGGCGGATCAATTCCTATTGTCTTTTCATCTCGACCTGTGTCGCAGGACAATAATACGGATGGAGGATAAACGGAAACCAGGCACATGGATGGTTAATCCACGCTACCACGCCACTATGAGAGGCTGGCTAATCGAGGCGTCGCGAGGCGTCGCGAGGGATGACTAAGCGCCTCGCCTCGCGAGGCCTGCGCGAACCATGGTTAAATATACCATCCGTAGTCCTGTATACTATATAGGGACCAATACCACGATCGCTAAGGTCGGTGAATCCTATCCCTTCGGCCGCTGAAATAATGCCCCCTAGCCTATGATGGCACGGACCAGCCTGTACCGTAAATGATCACCCAATCAGAGCTCGTCGGTATCTCGTCGCGCAGTATCCAAATCGTGAGTACAAAGTAGAGTTATATCATTCTTCAATTAATAATGTCGGGTAGGCCTTCTAAATGTGCCAAATTAGAGCCTACAACACTGATTAAAGCAATTCCGGAGCCTCCAAGCTACGATCCGCTCCCATATCGCAATATTTCTCGATTACCAGCAATCCAGATCCCGGACGGGAATAAAACAGACCCGTACAATCTCTTTAAGCTATTCCTTACTGATCAACACTTCCAAACGATCGCGGAGAATACCAATAAATATGCAAGAGCTAAGGAAGCAGGCATTGCAGGGAAGCGAAGCTGGTGCCCTACGACAGCATCTGAAATTAAGGTCTTTATCGGGGTCTTCATCTATGGTACATGGGCGTAGTGCGCCTCCCTGCGCACGAAGACTACTGGAAATCTAAATTTGGCCGACATATATGCGCGGAAAATCTTAGTCTCAATAGGTTCGAAGACCTGAAGAGATTCCTCCATATCAGCCCTCCAGAAACGCCTCAAGAGGCTGTTCAGGAAGGAAATGATGACTCGGACGACGATGCACAAGAGAAGAGACGGAATTGGTGGTATAAGCTTGATCCAATTGCTTCGGAGTTCCGGGAGAACTGTGCGCGTTATTGGAAGCCTGGGGTCAACGTCTCAATTGATGAGATGATGATTCGATTCTTTGGACGAAGCAAGCATACAGTTAAGGCTCCAAATAAGCCTATTAAGGAAGGCTATAAGATCTTCTCCCTTTGTGAAGCTGGCTATACATACGCCTTCGTATGGTCTTCAAAGTCCAAAAGCTACGGAGAGGTAGTAAAGCAGAAAGATCTCTCGTTGGCTGAATCGATGGTATTCCAGCTTGCTCAACAACTTCCAAAAGATACGCCGCATGTTATTTACATGGACAACTTCTTTACACGTGTTCCATTACTTCGGAAACTTCGAGAAACAGGAGTTGGAGCTTGCGGAACTACTCGACGGCACCCGGAGTTCCCTGCCTTTCTGATTAATCTTAAGGTGTACTGTTCTAAGCGTTTAGCGTGGAATACTACAGCTTCCATTGTCGCACGAAGGAAGATCAAGAAGGAACCGTCAGAGACTTCAAGAATATCACAAACTGCCTCCCAAGCTGCCTCCCAAGGAGCCTCGCAGACAAAGCGCGCAAAGCAGGAGCAGCAGGAGGAGCAGGAGGAGCAGAAGGAGGATCCCTTAGATCCAGGTGTGATCTGCTTTGCGTGGCAGGCCAATAATACTGTCCTCGCTTGCTCTACAGTCCATGATGCTGGGGAGGAACAGACAATCGTCCGCTTAAGACGCCGCCCTGCACTTACGTCTACAAACGGACCTATTGTACGGAAGGTCTTCGCAAATAACGTACGAAAGAACCTTCCAATTCCTATCTTTATCGACGACTATAACCACTTTATGGGAGGCGTCGATATAGCTGATCAGCTCCGCAGCTATTATTCTACGCAACGAATCTCCCTTCGCAATTGGTATCCTCTTTGGTTCTGGATCATCGATACATCAATCTTAAACGCCTATCTAATAGGACGACAGCTGCACGGACAACAGTATATGGATCATAAGAATTTCCGAGCAGAGCTATGGACACAGTTATTCCGATATTCAGAGGATGTCTTCAGAGAGCATAAGCTTGCTCAATTTGAACAGCGACTAGCCCAGACTTATGAGGCTCCGCAGGCCAATCTACTACAGATACCCCTTGCAGAGCACAGGTTAATACCATTAACTGAGCAAGCTCGCTGCGTAGGCTGTCGGATGATCTTTTCTAGTACAAGAAAGCGCAAATTTGGAGACGTTCTTGATATTAATGGAGTACTTCGGAAAGACGTCGTTGAAGTTAACGGAGTGCTTCGCAAGTCTCCTGGAAAGACGTTATTTGGCTGTAGTGTCTGCAATGTCCCTCTCTGTACAGATAGTGGCTGCTGGAATAACTATCATAGCAAGATATCGCGCTTTAAAGAATAGTATCTAGTATCATGGAGAGCGAGCAATATCTACTACAGCGACATCTGATTGGGCGGCTGCCCCCTGTATGTTGGTATGTGCCACCCTAGGCTAGGGGGCAATGTTTCAGCGGCCGAAGGGATAGAATCTGGGTCAGATCCAGAAAATACGGACTACGACGATGAAAGATTGGTAGCATACGACTAAACGGGACTAGCAACACGTGATACAGGGAAATAGCGACGCCTTGATCGAGGAACGAGGCGAGGCGAGGCGAGGGCCTCGCGACGCCTCGCCTCGATTAGCCAGCCACGCCAGCCTGAGTACTATGTATGTATTCAGTTCACGTGATTGTTTCAATGCGCCACAATATGCCCACAATGCACGCCATCTACTTGTTATCGACACATCCCTACACATGACCGTCAACTCCACGACAATAATAACATCGGATCCATCAAACATGTGAATATCGTGGACAAACACCACCCTAGTCCTGTCTGGGACATGATCTTAGGCCATGCATCCTACGCGGTTGCTGATGCTCCAGTCTTCACATATATACAAGCTCTCGGAATGTGCGGATCAAACAATTGGCACGAATATGAAACCTCGAAGGCTTTTCCGCTGCCCGAGTCTAGATCGCCAACTTCCCCAACCCAAGCCGAGTGGAACGACAGGGCTATCCGCCGCTAAAACTCACTTGATATAAGCTATGGAGTCGCCTCGGGTGATGGAGCTTCCCAGTTCCGCAGGACGGTCGCTTCTCGACATGTGCTCCAGAACATTTCACTCGTAAATGTAGGACGACGCTGGTTCGTGCAGCGACGCGGTAAGTCAGCAGATATGCTCCACGTTCGTTAACTATTATTGTCTTCTACGATTTGCTTGAATATGGAGATCGAACCCAAGAGCGTGATTACGCTGTTTCCTGTGATTTTGCACGCCGGTAAGTGAGAAGAACCCGGATGATATCCCATACAAATGAAATCGCAATTGGTTCTGATACATCACGACTCGGATGAATAGCGATACCCGGCAGCATCCACATGATCACATACCCGTTTAAGAGCAAAGACAAAAAGGCCCCGAGGTATATCAACGACTTGGCCTACGCAGCAGTTCGCGATGCTGTCATGAGCCGCACGCTTCAACAAGCCCGGGGTATGACACCCGGGTCGGACAAGGTGCTCGATCGAATGGTCAAGCGCAGGAGAAAGAAGCTCGACAACGTCAAGTTGCCCGAGGGGATCCTAGCGCATTGGCTTGGTCCACGGAATGCAAAGTATACCATGATATATTACCACGGCGGCGGGTTCATCGACGCCATCATGCCTGGCCATGTGCGGTTTCTGTTCAGCCTCATGAAAGAGATGAGGAAGAGTGGGAAGAACATGTCGGTTGTCGTGCTGGCGTACTCTCTTGCACCTGAAAAGCCATATCCGACGCAGCTGCGACAGGGCGTAAATTTCCTGCGGCATATGATCGAGGTCGAGAAGAAAGATACATCTCAGGTTCGCACTGCCTGGTATATGAGTTCTAAGATTTGGAATGCGCTTACAAGGCCTAGCTCATCATCGCCGGTGATTCGGCAGGTGGTAACCTGGTTCTATCAGTCCTCTCGCACATCGCACATCCACACCCCGACATTCCTCCCCTGAACCTTCCCGGTCCGTTGCACGCCGCCGTCGCCTTTTCGCCGTGGATTTCCTTCCGCGGCACCGAAGATTCTATGATAGAAAACATCGGATCCGACATTTTCTATCCCGCCACAGTGGTCTGGGCCGCCAAGAACTTTCTATATTCCGGTATTGGCAAAGGACGAAAACCGCGTCCGGGCCATCTGGGGGACGAGTGGAGCGAGCCCATTGTCTGCGACGAGCAATGGTGGGAAGGCGCGGCATCGCTCGTGACACATATGATGATCTGGGGCGGAGGAGGGGAGATCATGATCGATAGTATCCGGGAGATCGCGCAGAAAATCACGACTGGGTTTGAGAATGCTGCGAAGGCGGCGTGGGAAGGGGAAAGGGAGAATATTGGAAAGGTTACGTTGATCGTGGCACCGAGGGCCTGTCATGTAGAGCCCGTTGTTGACCATAGCATGCCATTTAAAAACCAGAAAAGCTCCCAAGGGATCCGGGAATATCTCCGGTCTATCTTGGATTAGCTGGAACCTGTTCGACTGCAAAGAGAAAGGATTTAAAGCAAGAGGATCGGAATATGGAGCCAAACAGTGTCCTTGAGATGGAATGGGCTGACTGTCTGCCCCATAAACAATGAACTAGGCAACTTGCTATCCATGACCTGCGTCGTGTCGCCCATGTATATTCTAAAATATGAGATGGGAATCTGGAATGGACTGAATGTGAGTCCCACTACGGCATGATATCTTCATCCCCCGAGGTAAGATGAGAGTAGTCAAGCAGGCCTAGGAATTCTGCGTCCTAACTACGCGGATGATTGAAGATATAAGTACAAAAGTAGCTCAGTGTTTGCACATGATGCTACTGTTCAACCAGATGGATAGGATGCAGTAGGTATGCTTCCCATCTCTGGGGGGAACTGCAGCATGCACCCCGAATGACATTCGGTGCCTCTCTTGAGTTGTTAGAACCGGGTACTTACTAGCTCACGGACAGATCAGGATACACGGACAGGCATCAGTCTGGTCCACCGTGGCGTGGTCCGATGCATCGGCAGCTCTGCACAGTGTCGAGCATGGTTCTTAGTGAGCATCCCACGGGATGGCAGCACTAGCTGCTCCGTGGGGCTCCAGGCGCATGTAGTGTCTGGTTGCAGATTTCCTAGCCGAAGGTGCTGTAGTTCTTTAGCAACTGTCTAATGTCCATCGATGAAGGCCAAGTGAAGCTAATCAAGGAACTGGTCCGCCACCAGTGGACCATAAGGTGTGGAAGAAGGCCTGGAACACTGCGTCTGGCTACAATACCACAATGAATGCACGGCTTCCCAACGGGTGGCAATTTCGACATGGTTCGCACAACCGTCTGGGAAGAAGAGCTGATCATGAACGTAGGATGAACCGGTGCAATTTTTCAAGGTTATATTCATTATATTGTTAGTTGGTTGGAAAAATCCGCGTCTTTCATCACATGATTTCGTTTCCTCGCTCCTGAATGAGAGGCGAGCACAGAACCAGACGCATCCATCTCAGGCCTCGTGAAATTCGCTCGAATCAGTGCGTGCTTAGAGGCCGCCGGTTAAAGACTATCGATGGAATATAGAGGCGATGCCAAAGACAAATTTGCAAGAATAGCAAGACCACTGCGACGGTCCAATCAAGCTGGAGGTGTGAGTGACGTGTTTGGCCTTCAGGGAGGCAAGTCTAGAAAGATAAGGAACTTGCCGTGACACATTGTTGAATGGATTCGTCCAACATCAACCTAGATGGAAGAGACCGCCACTGAGTGAGGGTAAGAACCTGCCCGCAGGCGAGAACGGCAAGAAAGTGATCGCGAAATAGATCGAGAAATACGGAAGTAATGGGGAAATAGACAGCGTGCTCAAATTCAAGAGGGCGATTTGTTCGTTGGAGATTTGGAGCAGGCAGGCACCCCTGTTGTTTAAGGGTCTAATCTTGTAGAGGGTGGGGCATTTGAAGGGTTGTTTTTTTTTGAATTCATGGCGTTGCTAGGTAGAATTGCCCTGTACTAGTAATAGGATCCGGCCGGCTGAACGTCCTATAGCCGTATTCGAAGCAGTGGTGTGTTGTCACTGGTTGAGGGGCTATACCGTTGTCCATACGTAGTAGTACAAGACCTGACGACAAGAGGCTTGCGGGGTGGGGTGCAAACCGGGAACTGAACACTGTCAAAATGCTGTACCCCCCACCCCCAGGCCATTCCTCATTACGTGTAACCAGGTTCCAAGTGGTACAGGCCAACAGGAAGTCCCAAGGAGAACACCATCCACTAGCAGCCGTGAGCCCGGGCCCCAGGAATATGGAGCTGGGTTCGGAGATCCCACTGTGGCACCGCCATGGATTACCAAATGAGATCTCGAGATGAGGGTTGAGTGTGCAGGAGGTAGACATGATCGATATTCTTGAAGCAGACAATAGGAAAGGCCATCACGGGGTTGAGGTCTGAAGATTCCCGTCTTGGGGATCTGGGGTCTTGCTCTTTCAAGTCCTTGCATGTATCCAATTCAAAAGATGTCGACCACCTCTCAGTAAATTGAGGCAGAGGGAACCAGTCCGCTACATCCTGCTCCTTTAGATTAGTTAGATCAGAGACGGATGAACGATGGGCGCTGGGCCTTGATGGTATCGCTCCCCAGTTCTGTCCGTAGATTATAAAGTCCCGGGAGGACTTTGCCACTGTTGGGATCAGGGCTTCTGATATTATACTAGTATCAGCCGCAGACACCAGGCAGTTGTTCCATCGCTTCCATCAAGCAGCAATGAGGTGGGCGATAACAGGAAGCCCACGTGACGGCAGCAGGGAATGATACCGAGATCAAGATCTGTGTTCAAGGGAAGGAAGGCCCAAAACACTGCGGCGGGAAGAGCTAACATGGACTTGGGTGATTGTCAGATGTTGAAGAGTCCAGCGGTCGCACGTAAGATTATTTTGTGCTGAAGTTGGCAGCGGAACATGAAGGACGTCGAACGGATGGAGCACGTGGGCGCGTTGATTGGTCAGAATCTTTTGGTGGAGCCCATGTGCCAAGTTAGACGCTAACATGGGAATTCCCGCCGCTAACCACATTCGTCCTTCCCATGTTGAATTCTGTACCACGTTACAAGATTTCACTGACTTCACTGATTCCTACCTTCTAACACTAAGAATAATATTGCCCGCCCACGTTGTGTATTCTTATATAATAACGTCTCCCCACTTGCTTATACGGTAAAGAAATTTGATTTGTTCATATCCCAGTAAAGTGTTAGTCCTCGACCGCTCCGACGTGGGATGAACTCGAGAACTTTGGTGTCTTGGTCCCACATCACCGCACATGGCACAACCCCGATCCTTGCTGTTAGTCTAGATCGGATCCAATTCCGTTCGAATGGCTCTAAAATGGCCTGAATTTACTGAAATCTGCATGTATGTTCGGTTTACAGGTGGTCTGGTTGACCGTAGCATGGATTTGACCCGTTCGTTTGGCACATGCGGCATCGGCCATCCAGAGTGCAACTGCCCACACCCCTACTATCGTCCTCCACCATTGGACAGTTCCTTAATGGGTGCCTAGCAACTAGCCCCCGGTCACGGAGCAGCAATTCAACCTACACATCCCTATGCAAGGAATCGAGGATATGTCTCCCATTACCGATCTTATATACTGCAACCCCCTCCCACCCCTCGTACCCTACTTCTTCTCCTCTCCACGCCCATCCTTAGTACCCATTGCACGCCAATGCGGCACAGCCAAGCTACACTTCTGTCTATTCGTTCATCGATCCTAAGAACATCAATCGCCTGCCATGCCGATCCTCCACCAATTTGACTACCTCTTCGCCATCGGCACCATATTCGCGTTCCTCGACGCGTGGAACATTGGCGCCAATGATGTTGCTAACTCCTTCGCCACCTCCGTGTCTTCGCGCTCCTTGACCATGAAGCAAGCGATGTGCATCGCGAGCGTCATGGAATTCGTGGGCTCTGTGGCCGTCGGCGCTCGTGTCGCCGAAACCATCCGAACCAAGATCATCGACCCGAAGCTGTTCGATGCGAACCCAGCCCTGCTGATGCTCGGTATGGTTTGCACTGTAAGTCATTTCCTTCGAGAAAACGGGCCATGCGGACAAGCACTGACAGTACCTAGGTTATTGCATCGTCAACCTATCTCACCTTGGCTACGAAGTTGGGTCTTCCCGTCTCCACCACTCACTCGATCATGGGTGGAGTTATCGGTATGGGCGTCGCGTCAGTCGGTGCTTCAAGGGTTTCCTGGGGCTGGAAAGGCGTCGCTCAGGTGTTCGCCGCTTGGGGCATTGCCCCGGGTCTTGCTGGAGTTTTCGGTGCCATCATCTTCTTGCTCACTAAGTATGGAGTCATGCGACGGAGCAATCCTGTCCGGAACGCCTTTTTCTCGATCCCCATCTATTTTTTCATCACTGGCTCGCTCATTGCCATGTTGATCGTCTGGAAGGGTGCTTCCAGCAAGATCGAACTTAGCGATGGTGGTGTGGCCGGTGTCATCGTCGGCGTCGGCGCTGGTATCGCTCTCCTTGTCATCGTCTTCCTCCTCCCATACCTTTACCGCAAGGTCATCAAGGGTGACTGGCAGCTTCGCCCCTGGCATATCCCTTTGGGCCCTCTCCTTCTCCGCCGCGGTGAGATCCCCGCTGCTCCGGAAGGCATGGTGGACTCCGGCATCCAGAACTACTATCGAGGCCACCTAACCAGAGAGGAGTTGGACGCGAAACGTACTGAAGACGCTGCCGCTGCTGGCGACGTCGAGAAGGGTACCGCTATCACCACGACTGACAGCGCGTCAGATGTCCCTCACGCTCAACAACACTCATTCACAGATCTCGAAGAGAGCGTCTCCACCCGTCCTGAAGGCCCCATCTCCAATCCCAAAGTCGCTTTCTGGTATGCCAAACGGTGGTTCTTCCGTGGTGTCGAGAAAGACGTTGTGAGCATGCAGAAGAAGCGTGACATTCTCTCTGGCGACATTGAAGAGGCCCACGCACGCTCTGAGCACTACGACAACCGCGCCGAGTATCTCTACTCTTTCCTCCAGATCCTCACTGCCACTGCCGCCTCTTTCACCCATGGTGCCAACGACGTCTCGAACGCCATCGGCCCCTATGCCACCATCTACCTCATCTGGAGCACGGGTCAGCAGAAGAGCTCCGTCCCGGTTCCCACCTGGATTCTGGCTTTCGGTGGTGCTGGCATCGTCATCGGTCTCTGGACCTACGGATACAACATCATGCGCAACTTGGGTAACAGGCTGACGCTCATGTCCCCATCTCGTGGTTTCTCCATGGAGTTGGGCTCCGCCGTCACCATCATCATGGCCACTCGTCTCAAGCTCCCCGTTTCCACGACTCAGTGCATCACGGGTGCCACGGTCGGTGTCGGCCTCTGCAACGGTGACTGGCGAACCATCAACTGGCGCATGGTAAGTCCAACTGCACCATTCCGTTATCTTCGAGAGCCGGAACTAACGGAAAGCCAGGTTGCTTGGATCTACGGTGGTTGGTTCATCACGCTTCCCGTCACTGCAATCATCTCAGGATGCTTGATGGGGATCATCATCAATGCACCACGATGGGGATACGCGAGCCAATAAGTAGCTTCACCCATTTCTTCCGTATCTAGCATTACAGTACCAAAGTGCTGTCACATCGGCCCCCACACTCATTGAAAACAGCCATAGCGTTGCATTTCGACGGTTGTGGAACTAGTTTCTTATTATACCACCTGGGAGTATTAGCATACGTCAATACCTAAGGAACCTTTCCTGATCAACCATATGGAACCACCCGCTCGTGAATCCCGTGAAATTCGACCGAGGGTGCATCCCAACCAATTTGCAACGGCTTACTCCGTCTATGGTCCCAAAAGGAATGCCCATGTCTCTTCAATGAGCCTATCTCCAATATTCTAATAATAAGACCAGCGGTGCACATCCATCGGATTCCCATGCGATCGCGCTTGATCAAAACCCAAAATCAAACCGCCGAATATAGTAATACTAAGAGAATGGGACCGTCTCCAAAACTGTTTGCTGAGCTCGTCCTGGCCTATGTCAGTGTCTCCTGTTCACGGTAATGGTGCAGTCGTGCAGAAGATGGAGGCGAGATCTGGCGATCCGATTTCTCAGTCTGGGCGGTACGCCGTAATGAGTGTTCATAAACATTCTTGTGAACTATATTAAGTCTTAATCTTGTAACGTGTAAAGAAATATATCCAGTGAAACCAGTTGCTTAGTTGCAGTCTGGTGGATTCAGGAGAAGCTGGCAGTCGGCAGGGGGGGGTTGCGAGAAAGGTGGGTCATATTTCCTCTCCCACGCCAACATTTGATGAACTCAACATCGCCACAGCACTCACAGCATACACCAGATGTAACACGAATGCATCACGGCATATACTTCATGCAACAATCCAGCCTGGGATTACAATAGGAGTCTAGTAGATTACAATTCTCAACGAGGTGAACAAAGGGCATTCATTCTGCAGGGGCCTTTGCCAACCGAATGCGAATGTCGACATCTCAGAGTCAAGTAAACGATCCTGCCCCAGGGGACGATCCAATGCGCATCCCCTCCCTCCACCGATTCCTTGGGCTGGCGAAATCCGCTCTCCGCCAACCGGGAAAGAAGACGTTCGTAGTGGGAAACGAATCAGTAGGTCCGTTACATTATGATGCTGATTGCCATCAGCGTCGCCAGCCTCCTGGAACCTGGCTGATTCCGGCGTGCAGACCTCGACACCTTGACCAGCTCGCTTCTGCTCTCCTATCTCCGCTCCTATCCGATCGGAAAGACGGATCGGTCACAAATCTCAGGCGCGATCCCTGGTTCCCATCCTCTAACTATCCCGCTCATCCCCCTCCCGCGCGCTGACCTTCGTCTTCGCCCCGAATTTATCCCGGTCCTCCAGTCCGCGGGTGCGGAAGTAGATGATTTGATCACGCTGGATGATCTGGAAGCCCCTGTATCATATGGACGCGCGGAAGCACAGGAACCTCCCGATCTCATCTTAGTGGATCACAATGCCCCGACAGGCGCGGTCAAAGCACTCAATGGGAAAGTGATCGGGTGTATCGACCACCATGTGGACGAGGGTGTGGTTTCAAACGACGCGGAACCAAGGATCGTGGAGATGGCGGGGAATTGTGGGAGCTTGGTGTTGGACTGGGCAGTCAAGAGCGGGTTATGGGAGGAAGATCAAGCACGGTTGACGAGTGGTGAAGACGCGTGGACCGTTGCTGGGTTGGCGAAGATGGCTATGGCCAGCATCTTGGTGGACACAACAAACCTGAAAGCAAAAGAGAAGGTGAAGGAGGTGGACGAGTGGGCGGTTGGATATCTAGAGAGTGTCATCCAGGCAGTGGAGACACGTGGAGTGCGGCTGGGCGAGGCGGATTCGGAGCGTTATGGCCGGGACAGGTGGCACAAGCTCGTGAACGGGATCAAGAAGGAGTTGAAGGGGCTCTCCGCGGAAGAGATGCTCCGGAAAGATTACAAGGAATGGGAAGAGAAGGACGGGAAAGTTGGCATCGCATCTGTGGTGAAGCCGCTGGCCGAGATCATCGACCGAGCAAGTCCACAGACACGCGACGAAAGGGGTATGGAAGCGCTTGCACACATTTCAGAAGCCTTCGCCAAGACGAGGGGATTGGATCTGTTCGTGGTAATGACAACGTTCAAAGATACCCACAAGCAGTTCAGACGAGAGCTAATGCTCATGGCCATATCAGAGAGGATGCAGAGCCTACTGGGCGGGTTCCAGGAGAAGTCGGAAGAGCTCCAACTGGAGGCGTGGCAGGCTGATGAGAGGATGACTGCCGCCGTACGACACATGGGAATGAAGGTTTGGATGCAAGGGAATACCAGCTGGAGTCGGAAACAAGTGGCTCCATTCATCAGGGGATTGCTAAAGGACGCCTGAAGCGGAGAAATCTCCCGTTCAGACCTGATGCAGAAGCCGGGTCGTATAGGGGTATTCTTGGAGAAGGCCTGATCGACCTCACTGACCTGCTCGAGTGCATAAAAATATTCTGAAGTTTGTAGTATATGTGTATGACGACGGAACATGCGTGTCATGCATCGATTTCCTATTCAGCTTCGATGTCAGAAACCTACCGTATAGGAGCAGATATCTTCTAGTAGGTCGTATCTCTGCTGCTATCAGCTCGGCGGGTAGTTGCGAGTATGATACGCTTGGTAAGGCAATGTTAAAGTCGCATTTGCTCCATCATCGCATTTTGCGTGCAGTAATGGCCGGAGCCAGCATATGAAACCGCCACAAGACTGTATTCAGATGGTGCGACCCAGAGGCATTTATGCGAGAATAATGCGACTAAGAAACGGCGGAGCGAAGCGTCAACGAGAGAAAATGTGCGTCTACCAGTCGGGACAAAGTTGAATTGACAGCGAAAGCATGCATGTGCATGGCTACTTATCGTCCTGCCAGCTCAGCAGTCAGATGCTACCTTACATCCTCACCGGAAGCTGCTGAGCGGTTGAACGGGATAGGATGAGTTGATTCCATGACACAGACGGCAAATCGTCACTGCTTGTCCTATCGTCCAATTCTCAGCACTCACGGTATGGATATGTGTGGCGAGACGACAATGCAAGGATGATCAATTGCGGTGACCCTAACATGAAATGTTTGGATGAGGCTGATGCTGACTTCAACCAATTTGGTTGAGCCTCTCGGTGCGATTGAAAAGACGGGGTCAGGCTGGGACCACGCTGTCTGGTCCCTCCGCAGCCGTCACATCAACAGGACAACAGCGGTCGCAGGATCGGCCACGATGGTTGAGCGTCGCTTCAAACGGCCTCGCGATGCGATGATTGGTTCCGCGAGTCCGAAAGCTGTTCTGCAACACTGCAGCACACTGAAAAGAGAAACGTGGTGCATGGATGGAAAGGTTGGATGCATGCGCTTCCGTCCTGATTGGCAGTTCCAAGTGTGATGCGTTGTCCAAAATGCTGCAAGTCATGCTTTTCGTCAATTCTCCGCCACTCATCCGGACGGGCCTGTTGCGACGAGCTTGGAATCGTGAAATGGGGAAATGAAACATGGACAGTTTTCTGCTCGCTTCCCTTCATATTTGCTGTCTATCTTGTTCTTATCAATGCAGCCGCAGCCTCGTCAAGACTCAGGAGAGCAGTTGAGATAGAGAGAGAATCCCGGACTCCGCTCCCCTTTCCACTCCGCTCCTCTACCCCGCTCCGCCGTTTCTTCCTGTGATTGACTCGAGAAAGTCCGACCTCTCGTCCTCCCCTCCTCCGCCAATCAAAGCTTTCCCAACCCTCTCTATAATAGTGAATAGGAAAGCCAGCAGCGACTGGAATCCACACTGGAATCCACACTGGAATCCACACTGGAATCCGGGACACATACCACGGCTTCAAGAACTCGGTTCTGAACCCGAATCGACTACGCGACACAACTGTGGACCGTCCCCGCGTCCAACCTCCGCCTTGCAGAACCTCATCGCGAGCGGAACACGGCCACGACAATGGTTCTGTGATACGCTACGGACGCACGTTAGCGGCGTCTCTTTCTGCGCACGACAATGAAGCGAGTACCAATCTCCTCATCGCCGCCCGCCCCGGCTTACTCGTCTCCACGTAAGTACATGGTTCTATTAGGACCTCGACGGTGGCCATGCGCACTGGTGTACAAGGCGTCGTCGTTGTCCCTTACTGGCTGGCAAAGAGGAGCGGCTACGATATCTCCGTGCGCGTCGCGAATGTATGATGATGTGGCAGAGCCTATGCTAATCCGACCTTCCTATTGTTCCTTCCAGCTGCATCTCCCACCATTACACATGTCTCTTCAAGAAGTCTTACCCCTTCCCCTCCCGAGCTCGCCCTCCATGGTCGGCCCAAAGAGATTGTTCTTCGTTCTCCGAGTCCAGCACGGTCTCGCTCACCGCAATCCAAACCATACAGGATGACGAGAGCAGGGAGAATCTCCGACCATGGCAATGAGACTCCGCGTTCGATCCCTACCGACGCGACTCCTACGGGATCGAGGCCTCAAGTTACCCCTCGTCTACTTCGTCTTCTCCCGGTCGATACGTCCCAATATACCTCCGAGAGCATACCAACATCTGCCGTGACCACTTCCAGTACATCCCTTGCCGAGCTCGCCTACCTTGTACGCCTGCAGAAACACCATGAACATCGCCAGAGCCATGCAAAGTCTCGCCTCCACCGTCGCTTGGTCGCCTTTGCTTTGAACGCCCGCTTGGTAAACTGTGGAAGACTCGCATACCGCGCCCTCGTGGATAACTTTCGCTCGGATGACAAGAAGAGTTTCGCAACTCTATACAACGCCCTTCATGATGTACGAGCTTCTTGCGACGACACCCGTCGCTTCGCCCTTCTGGACCTGGAATTGCAACATCAGATCCAGGATGAAGCGAATACCGCAAGTGCCGTAGATGAGCCGAAGAAGCCGGTATTTGTAACGACATGGCTACATGCCCTTCCGTCGTCGATAAGACAAGATATCCTGACGTTCCTCTCCGCTATTCGGACGAATCCGTCGTTCCTTGCTTCTCGTCTGGCCAGTCTGTCACACTCTGACCTCCTTAACCTTGTGTCGTCAAGATCCTCGCTTGACTATGCGGAGAGCGTTTTCTCGTCCCAGTCCGGCCCCAATGTACCAAAGTCCAATGGAAAACCTGGCAGCATCAATACCGCGGCACCGAAGGCCGGGCCAAGTCAAACAGAACGTCTTCTCTCCTTCGCTCGGCATGATCCTTTCTCTTCCTTGTTGTTCACCATCTTTGGCTCCACTTCCACGCCGGACTCGGCTGAGGACAAGCTCCGCACTGATGCTTGGGCACTCTCCTGTGCCAAGCTTATCGTCGAGCACAAAAACGGATGGAACAAATTCTTGGAATTATCCCTAGACGCATGGGCGGCCATGAGGCACTGGGGAGCCAAACCAAACCTGGAAGCCTGGTTGATGGGCGTTCTGGAGGACGGCCAATTCCTGCTTCAGGAGGCTCAGCCTGGGTCACGCCTCCGACAAGGACAGTTCTCTACGGATGTAAATACCAAGGATACCATACGGGCGGAGGAGTTCTTCGACTCTGCTATTCTCAAACTATTCGAGCTCATCGGTAGCGACTCGTCGTCCGGGGGTCTTCCCGAAGGTGCCATCGAACTCGGCCAAGCAATTGTTCGAGCGCTGCATTCGTCGACCCTGCCTGGGGCAGAGAAGCGTCATCGGGCCGCCATTCGTCATTATGTAGTATTGCAATGGTTCTTCTTGCATTACTTGACCGATGCCATCGTCTGGCCCGAAGCTCACGGTATGATGATGGGCTACCACGTCTCGGAGCACGCCAGGCAACAGATATTCAGGGTGATATCTCAGCGTGTTCAGAAGCAAGCCAACGATTTGCTCAGCTGGCACTTCAACAAGCCCGCTGCAGGCCATTCGCAACGGACCGGAGCGCCTACCCTCCCGGAGATACGCGAGAAGATTGATGGGCTTGAGTCGATTTTCAAACTGGGGAAGGGGTCCGGTACAGGCCATGCCACATTTGATACATACCCCACCGCGTCGTCAAAGACCCTCCTAGTGTCGTCCAAATCGGTGGTATCGCCTGCCCGCGAGACCATGCAAGTGCAGCCGTTCATCGTCGTCTCTCCCTCCGACATTGTCACCCTTGTTGATGCCTTGTTTCCCAACCGTCGTCCAGCTTCGTCGTCGAGTTCTACCCTCAACTTCAGGCACACGCTTAAGCAAGCGTCCAGCCAACTCAGCCTGACGAACGCCAGCATCTTAGGCGCGTCATCTCTTTCTAGTGCACCTGTTCCCATTCGCCCATCGTCGGTGTCAACAAACGCCACTGCTCACTCTATTTCTGCTTTAGCATCCACGCCGGGTGATGGCAGCTCGGTGCTATCGGCATCTGCCAGTAGCGCCACGTCGGACACCACAGCGATTAGCCGTGTTCCGTTGCTTGATGATGGCCAGGGTGCACGCGGCCGGTCTCATGAGCTGGGCCACAAGCAAAGCACGGAGTCATACGGCCTGACTTCATCGTCCTCATGTGAAGATTTGACGAGCCCGGATGGAGACGTGCAACCATCTGAGGAGTACGGCATACGCCTTCGACGCACTTGCCAAGAAATGCTCCGCGCTCTCAGCGCGGCCTCTTCCAAGAGCACTCCTACTTTTGCGTCTGGGAGCCAAGCCCAGATCGGAAGCCTCGGGTCTTGCCATCCCGCGGCGGAAAAATGGACCGTCTTGTTTGTCAGTCAAGATGGTCGGGAACTCGAACTGAATGTCTCAGGGGCTGGTGGAGTGGACGGCGAGGATGAAGAAGGTACTAGCGAGGAAGACGAGGAGGATGCCGTTGATGGCGCGATGCGAAACTCAATGCATCCACATCCACCGACCTCACACATACGACCAAGTCAACGTGCTGTCGACCTTGAGGCGGACTACCACGAGCTCAAACTCGCAATCTCGAGACTTGTTGAAGAATATGAAGTGCCCAAAGAAATGGTCTACCATGATGACCATAAGGCGGCTGGAAGGACAGCTAGTGCTGCAAGAGGTCGATCGATTGAAGGATCGAAGAATCCTTACCATGCAAGTGGGATCCATGACCAATCTCAATCAGGTCCACAGTCATATACCCCGTCCCGCCATCAATCTACTGGAACCAATTCTGGTGGAGCTCATCGTCATACCCCCGAGCCATCGGACAACCGTACACATCCACCTTCGCTTCTGCTCTCCATGTTGGAGTCGGCCTATCATGCCTCGGCCCTGAGCTCAGACTACATCAGTGCAAGCACGTACCACAATACCATCCTCCAACTCCGATCAATCTCATCGTCGTCCTTAACTCGCAACAACTATGCTGCATTGCTGCACATGTTCTCGCGAGGACCACGGGAAGCATTGGCGCGCGCAGGAACCACCATGCGTGTCCTCGATCGATGGATCGACTGGCTCACTATGGCCGATGAACGCCTTGAAGGCCGCATCGATGAGATGATGGAAAGCGTGAATGACTTGCGTGACAAGATGTGGTATGTCACTGATGTGAAGAATAGCGCGGGTTACGAGAACGCGCGGAACGTGGCGGTCGCGTTGAGAATCATGGGGCAAGTTCCACTGATGCCTGGTGATGCTCCTGCTTCGGGCACCGATGCTGTCGCCCAGGCCAAGAACTCATTCTCCCATGGGCTCACTGCAGTCGCCATGGCGCGAGCTCGAGGTCTCGGAAGGCAATCTTCCGGCAACGAGTTTCTCGTGAAGACTGAAGCGCAGACTCTGGACCTACTCGCTGCCGGACCGGATCAGGGTGGCTTGAACAAGCTTACGGATGAGCAAAGTGATATGACAGCGAACTGGCTTCGACAAGGGGGCGTGGAGAATTTCTGCAAAGGTGAAGAACGCATTCATCGATTCACCCTGGAAATCGAGAAATGTGTCAACAAAATCATCGGCGATGGCATCATGGATGGGCCGGTCCTTTGGAGCAGCGAACTCTACCGTCGTGATCGTGCGCTTTTGGATGGAAAAGGCAAAGGTGACTGGTGGACGGGTATGATTGGAATGGGACTAGATGATGGCAGTGATGGCCTGGTTACTCCTGGCAGGACGCAATCGTCTTCGCAGTCCCGTCCAGGCACTGCGCAGACCGCCAGCAGTCTCCGAGGTTTAAGTGCCGCAAACATATCGCAACAGAGCATCGACTCGAGCAAATGGGGTACAGGCCATCTGATGGACTCTCCGGATTATTTTGGCTTGGGATCCCTGTCGATCAGCATCGACTTGAACGTGACGTTTTGGTCCCCATTCTCGCTTGCACCGAAACAAGATGCAGCCATCTCTCCGTCCGGTCCCGGACGTCGGCCGGGAACATCTTCATCCATGAAGAGCACGACGACCATCCTCAAGCCCGCGTCGCCACTCAATGAAGGCAAGCGAATGTTTCTTTTGACGCTTAAAAGGTCACTGACGGGTCTCCTCCTCTCGGATCTCGGCTCACTAGTCTTCCATTCCGGTGCGGAAACGGACTCCTGGTTCTCAGGTGATTTAGGCACAGAATGCCTTCAACGCAAAGAAGAAGAAGATAGGAAAAAGCGGCGCATGAAGAAGAAGAAGAGCATGCGGAACCTAAAAGCCAAGAACGAGCAGTTGAGACAGGAGACACACTCACATAACCGCGGAAGCTATCCACTGGAAACGCTCGGGCGGGGTGAGCGGAGTGATCCTGCCCCGCCAGTTTCAACATTACACCATGCTAGCACGAATGCCGCGGCAGCCGACTCTATATCCGCCGGCGAGTACTCGACCAGCTCGAGTGAAGCCAACCGGTCATCTGCAGTCGTAGCTTCAAGCCTACTACAGCTCAAGCGTGACGATCCCAACGACTTTCCATACCAGACCGCTTTCCGCGGGCTCCTGGCTAAATTTGCGAGGCACCCAAGTCCTTTCGCGAAGCTCGAAGCGCTGTACGAGCTGGAGCAGCTCATTGTCGCTCAGTTATCGGCAAAGACAGGGCGGCAGCTTGGCAGTGTGCGACGAGATCAAGAAAGAGGCAATGTGTCGACCCAAGCCGCCGCTACCGTGACGGCAGGGGCGCGGGAGCTTAGCATGGCTGGCCGGACCTCAGCCGTGCCTGGTGTGACCACCGCTCAGAATCTCCAGGAGGCCATCCAGAACTGTGCGGAGCGTCGTTCACACAGCATGACGACTTCCGCAAATGGCGTGGTCACTTCACCAAAATCTCCCACCGCCCTTCGAAGTTCAGACCCGTTGTCTTCTCAGGCAGGTCACCGTCGCTCACCAGAGCCGTCCCAGCGTGGATCTTCCATTCCATCTATGGATATGATCGTTGAAGTCATGCAGCACCTCTTCAGCGACGCGGAAATTCGACCCAGAACGCTTTTTCGCGACCTGCAATACATTGCTGCCTTCGTTCCTGCACAGCAGCTGGATCGTAGTGCGAAAGGCAAGGCATTTTGGGACGCCGGGCTCGCTGCGCTTGGACTCAAAGAGGACGTCTGTCGGCTCATGGTGGAGATCGCGGACGATATCGTGGCAGCAAACACTCAAAATCGTACGTCCGCAGCTGCTAGCGCTGGCAATACACTGGCAACTGCAAACAATGCATCTGCTTCTCCCCCCGCCTCGACGGAACACCCGGTATCCAACGATGCCTCCGGACCCTCAAGTGCCTCTCAGCCAGCAGATCCAGTATCACGTTTCACGATGTCCGATGCAGCACGCATGCTCATCATTACCGCCAAAGAAGGAGACGCTGCTGCAGAGCGAGAGTTGGCCATTCTGTACCTCACTCATCCTGACCTACTTCCCCGAACCGTCTTGCCGCTCACGCCACCTGGAAAGGTGTTCAAATCGGAGCTGCTTAGCGCGAGGGACCGTAAGCGCGAAGATCCCGCGAGAAGCGATCCGATGACCATGTGCGTTGCGCAGCATTGGATGGAGATGAGTCGCAAGGGAGGTGATTCGCTGGCAACGAAGTATTTGAGAGCGAGAGATGAGATCGAGAGTATTCCTTGAAGATGTGGCGTTGAGTTGCACATGATTCAGGAGACCATTCAGGAGACCATTCAGGTTTGACCGCAGACGATTGGTATGATGATGCTTTGATTTGAAGATACCCCATGCTGCCCATACGAAAGCCTATTCGTTTGGCGATGACTACAGATGATGTCAAACATAACGACCATATCATGATTTGCTTGTTGCGGGGTGAGCATAGCGGCGAGACACCATGGAGTTCAACGTCCTTCTTTCACGCTGATATTGCGATTCATTGTGGGTATAAATGGAAGTCGTGGAGTCTCTGGAGTTGCCTTTTTTATATTCAGCGCTGGTGTACGCATTCTTTTAGCACATCATGAGTCAAATACATACATAATCTCGTCTCGTTTTCCCGTCAACCGTGTCAAATGTTTGTCAATTGATGGGGATTTATCTATACATGATATAGCATGATATGTCAAACCAGATAACCACAACACAGGTCGCCTCTCTTATGCCATACTTCTTAACATTGTCTAATAGCTCAGCTGGATGGTGTTCCTCCCTGCGAGGTCGTATGGAGAAGTCGGCATGCCGACTCCTGGATCGCACCTTACCCTGCGACCTGTCTCAACAAACGTCAACAAAGATTCAATCGGTGATTTTCAATTGTTCTCCTTTCCACTGCATTTCAGCTGCATCTGCACAATTTCGTCCATCGTTATCATACGCATCGTTACCTGACCTTCGCTTTATCCTTACCCATACCCATTATCAAAAGTCCAATTGTTCATCATGGTGGATTGGAAATCCGAAGCGGGGCTGTATAATCGTCTACCACGCCCACGATTCCTCACCGATGGGAGTGAGAACCACTGGCACATCGAAATCAATCGGATCGAAGAGAACACGGGACGAATCCATTTCACGCAGAAATGCTCAGCGGCGGTTCAGTTTCAATCCCGCGCCATTGTTGAGCTTCCAGAGGAGGGCTCCATAGAACTGGCAAAAGTCGTTGTTGATAGACTTATATACAATTTCCTATTCCCCGGGAAGAGAATCGCTTCCGGTGTCCGGTCTAACCGTGTTCTCATATCTGGAAGATTTGCTCCGTACATTCTCGAAACCCGAACGGCCGAATTTGCTGCGTGTCTTGGGCAGGTAATGGAAGAGGTGGGAATCAAAAAGCTTCCTCACATTGTCATCGAACCTCAAGACGATATCGCGGGACAGAATCTCCAGGCCGATGCCGAAACGGCCTGCACGACGATGGACGATCCCCAAAGCACCGATATCGATATTGAAGCAGGATTGTCTATGTTTGATGATCCCGAAAGCACTAAGGCCGATATTGAAGCCAGTTTCTCGATATTCGATGATCCCCAAAATACCGAGGTTGATATTGAAGCAGAAGTCTCGATGGTTGTTAGTCCCCACGGAACAGAGGTGGATGTTGAAGCATCATTCCCAATGTTCGACAATGCCCAAGGCACAGAGGTGGGTGTTGAGGCATCATTCGCGATTTTCGATAATACCCAAAGTCATTCCCCTATGTGGCTACCGAGACGGTCTCATGCCGCAAATCCCACTGCCTCTTACAGCTCCAGGGCAGGACGTATTCCGGAGGGACTGCGAACCACGATCCAGGAATTATTCGGATGTACTCCAGACGACCCGATGTTCAGCACCAAAGCTCTAGGGACTGATGACGTTACGATTTCACTCTCACAAAAGTTATCGAAATCGCCGGATTTCCTAGAAGAATTGTTTGTAAGCCCGAGGTTTCGAGGGGCTTGCGCAAAAATACTCGACCCCAGCGAAAACGGCGTGAACGATAAAATTTGGGACCTAGGTGCCTTTCCCATTTTGCTGATGCTCCTAAGGCCACCCAAACGAGGACTACTGCACAAGTCAGCGCACAAGTCAAACCAGAGACAGGCGCCTAAGCAGCCAATGACCATAGAAAGCTCGTCGAAGGCTGCTCCTGGTTCTTGGCCCGAGACCAGTGGGGAAGAGTTAGGGGATTCACCCGAACAGAGTCGGGAAACTGGGGAAACAAGCTCTTCGAAGCCGGATCCAGGGCCCGAAATCAGTAGAAAGAGCAAAGCGCGAGAACCGCCGACAGTCAAAGTGGAGCGACCGAGCTTGACTCAACACGAACCTACTCCTATTCCTACCAACTGTACTGTGTGCAAGAGTGCATCTACACCAGAGGAACTGGAGCTCTTTCCCTGCCGTTATTGTCAAAGAATATGGTACTGTTCCAGGGTCTGCTTACGGTTCGAGGCCGCAACGCATAGTGGGGTGTGCTTCAAGCGTGTGCCACCACGACGCAGGAGGGAGGGAACGGAAAAGCGCCCTGAGGTGGCTAGCAAAGAGAGCCCGAAGGACCCAAATCGAGAAGACCTCAGCGGGAAAGACCCCAGCGGAGAACCCCCCAGCGGAGAGGGCTCCAACGAAGAGGAACCTCATCGACATAGCCCCAACGAGGAGCATCTCAACATGGAGGAATTGGACGACCACCATACCAGCAGCGATGCACTCAGAGAGGAGAGTCCGACAGGAAAGGAAAGGGGCAAGAAAAAACCAAAAGAGGGAGCTCCCGACTACCAATGTAAGCACCTTCGGGGCCCTACTCGAGTGTGTCAGAGTTGCAAAAAGCGTGAAGCAACTCTAAAACGGCCCCTGAAACTGTGCCGTTGCAAGAAGGTATTCTACTGCTCTCGTCGGTGTCAGCGCCGGGACCGGGAACAACATGGGAGAAAATGCCGGAGAAGACTCTTTACCAGCTTAGATATGTACTGTTGCCCTGAATTGAGTGCGGTCAACAAGTTCTATACTGAGAACGCCCCGGTGGACCCTGCTGCTCGCAAGCTTGCGCGAAAGATGCCAGGACTGCGCAATTTTGGCAAAAAGGATCCTGAATTCAGCAAGTACGTTCTCATTATCTCGGCAATCTCAAGTTCAATGGCCGATGCACTGCACAAACCCTCGCGCGTAATACCACACGGTTTCATGTGAGACTACCTACTGACTTCACGGGTCTAGGTGCAAAGCATTTTTGCCCCCTCTCTGGGAGCTGATCGGTGCTGGGCTGGATACTCCCGAATCCTTCGAGACTTTCTTCGGCCCCAGCTGGCCAACCATTGCTCGCCAGCACCGGGAGAATCGAATTGCTATTCTTCACCGCCATGAATGTTTTGTTAAAATGCATACGGACGGTGCTGGGATTTACAAACTGCAGAAGAAACTTCGTCTTCGGCCTGCCAGCGAGGTCGAGAAGAGGGATCTCCAGGAGATTCAATCGATCAAGGAAAAGATGATGCCATGTGAGGACCTTGGCCTCATCCAAGTCTTTCGCATACATGACATGCAAGAGATCGTTTTCGCCTACGGGGACGACTGGGTTCTTGCAGCCGAATGGCTTCAATTCGCTACAGAAGCACTGGCACGGCAAATTGTCTGACACGACCAAGGTCGGCTTTACGTCTCTAGAACTTCTGGCACTGCACTGTAATCAACACGGTCGTCTATGTACTTCTAAACAGTCACTCGTTTGCAAATTTCGTTATAGGATAGATAGATTGTTGGATCATGTCGCACACTCACTGGGTGTGTCACTTTCTCTCCTTCATATAGTCTACAGGTTCTACCAACGCTATTCGATTCACGCCTAAAAGCAATCCATTGCGACGTGGCTTCGTTCGGATTGTGTCCGGTACCCATTTTAGAAGACGACTCAAGACTTATGTCCAGGATCAAGTGCTGTCTAGGTACTGGACACAGTTGCAGGAGTACATGCTTTGCTACCCCAGGGCCAGGCAGTGGCATTAGTGATCAGAAGGACATTTGATGAGGGGAATTTCTTGGAGGTGATTTATATTGCATGGTGGATTTGCGAGTGAAATTGACTGCCAGGTTTCATCCCTTATCGTGGAATCATTGGCGGGCTTTACCATACTACGCGTCTCCAGCCTATGGAAAAAGGAACATATACGAAGCGTATCGGATTAATAGAGGCGCAGTATGGGATGGTTTACCTTAAGGACTTGTATGAGCTACGATCTAAGCTTTCAGAGCTACCTTACTAAGGTACACATTGGGACTCTCGATATTGTCTATCCTAAACATAGGCTGACCGTGAATAGCCCTTTTACCACTTCACTGCGTGATTTTCCTGTTCATGATTTCACAACGAAGAACCATAGAAGAACATGGTAAGCACACGTTCGCTGAACTACCAACGTGATTGGGAGTACCATGGATGTATCCACACCACGGTTTTGCGCGAGCAATGCAATCTATGCTAGAAACAACAACAGTAGATCCGCCGCATAAAAACTCATCATAAATCGTGACCATCATCAGAGCGTTCAGAATGAGATGCCGATCCATCATGCTATGAGGGCAAATAAAGCACGTCAAACAACGTATTCTATGCCATCTTCCTCCGAAGTGCGGGAGTCGTGCTAAGTGCACCGGTAAGGATGTGTGTGGCGCGCCGTCGCCGACTGGGCGTTGCGTCCCTACTACTCTCCGGATCCATCTCACTCCCCCGCCTGCTCATCGACCGGCCTGTGATACCTGTCATATGACTGCGAGCATGGTCCAACCCCTCAGACGCAATATCACCCAAAGCCGTATGAGCATCCGCATCATCGCCTTGGGATTTCTCGTATGGCGTGTCAGGCATGTCTGGATGGGCCATGAACCCGCTGGCGGCGCTTGCGCTAGACTTACTGTTTCGTCGAGAGGTCGTGTTAACAGCCGCTGCGCGGAGATCGGCATCTTCTTGCTCTTTTCTTTGTAGCGACTCGGATGGGAGGAGGATGGCGCGATCGAGAGCATATGGGAGGCCACGATGACGACCGCGGATCATCATAGCGATGAGGACCAGCTTGCTAAGGGTCCGGAACTGGCCGCAGAAGGAAGTGTTTGCGCTAGGATAACCGAGGGAGAGGCCGACTGTGCCGTAGGCGGACACGATCTCGAAGAGGACGGCGAAGGTGGTGAAGGTGTAATCGTTGTCCTTGGTTTGCAGGAGCCGGTCGCCTTCGATGATGCATATGAAGAATAGACCCAAGAACACGAACCAGAGGTCGAAGGATAGCTGACGCCGCAAATGCGCACCGATATAAGAAGGGGAGCGGCCGTCCTCATCTGGTTCCAATTGGCCGCCGGGATAGACCCCTAATGACTTCTCTTCGTACACATTGGTCCGACGGATCGAAATCGCGATAGGGAAGACGGAGATGTACATCATAATAAGGTAGGAGACCTGAATAGCAGGATGCAACTGTCCAAGATTGACAACAGCGAAGCCCGCCGTACGCGTGGATGCGGCTTGAAAGAGGCCGTCGAGGAATTTGAAACCAGGAGGCAGTGCTACCACAACTTCGGCGTTGAGGTCCAGAATGATAAAGAAGATAAGGTCGACGACATTGAGGAGAATAACCACGAAAAACAGCCACCATGTCGCAGCTTTAGGGAAGAGAAGGGTGAAGCAACGGCGGGGATGATCGAGCAAAAACTGCAGTTCCTCCCAAATGGCGCTTCCGCGTGGAACGCATTTCGATGCAGCCCAGATGACGAAGCGTAGCATGCAGGGGAATCCTGTGTTTCCGATGATGATCAAGAATGTTCCCAAAAGCAAGACCAGAGGGGACTTGTTGAAAGACACCATTGAATCCGGAGTGAGAGTAAGGCCAAGGTCATTGAATAGCGACGCAGGAGTGAATATGCCCCTTATAAAGAATTAGTGAGGTCGACATTGAAGGGGGCCGAACTTACCACCAAGAAGGTTTTGCACCAGCTGCTCGCACAATATCTGTATAATGGGTTGTTTCGATGATCCATGGCAAAAGGATGAACATGCCAAAAAGGTGGAATCCAACAAAATAACCTAGGATATGAGCAACAATCAAATAAGGGATAGGTATCGTCACTTACAAATCAAGACCCAAGCCAAGGTCTTCAGAGAACGGTATTCAATGCCTCCTAGTTGGTCTCGTTGTTCCTCGCTAAGATCCACAAATGTCGAGTTCCTTCCAATGGTGGCGGTCCAACTGAAATACGGTAGAGGATCTCGGTCCTCAGTCTTCGATTTGGTGAGAAAATTGGAAAAGGTGCGAGTTCGGATGCTTCCAAGAGTAATCGGGGACATGGCGTCCTCCCGAAAGCTGCGCCTACCGGGCGCGCGTGGGTAGATGGAGCGACCTTGCGTGTTGTGATTTGCTCTTCTAGGGTCATCGATTGTGATATGCCGTCGTACAGGATGGTCGTCGCCATTCAACTCGGCTGGTCCATAGGAGCTTTTCCTTCGCTTCTTGCCCGGAGAGCCGTCGTCTCCCGTGTCTAGCCTGGTTAACTCGTTGTCTTCGTCGCCCTCCTCAACAGTCCGGACTGCTTCGCCGCGTTCAAAGTCCCGAGGACCGGGGATCCGGAGAGTCGTTTTGTTATTGGGGTTTCGCTGGTTTTCAAGAAATGCGATATGCTGCTCGGTGGTTCTGCGCTCAGGGATCCGCTCGCTTGTGCTAGGATCTGGTTCATCCGGCGCAACTTCGTCGGCAAAGATGATATCTCGTTGATGTTGTCTGTTGAATCGACTCTCAACCGGTTCGTCGTCATCGACTATCGCTATGTCATCGTCGCTTCTGTTTTCGGGCCCATGGCCATCGCTGTTGCTCGAGGAGGATTCCGCCAACTTCTTGGCGGCAGACTCGGGGATTTCTTCCTTCTCGGTCATATCACTATCGATATTCCTTCCCTCGGCGACGCCATTTCGATTTCGGAGGACGTTGATCTTTCGGAAGCCCACGCCTCGTTCTTCTCCGTCCATATCGCGGTCTGGTCGCAATTCGCTTCTTGTCCGTGAGATTGTCCGCTGCCTTCGCAATGTTCTAGCTTCGCGGACGACGTTCTGAAAGCGCTTTTCGAACCAGTAGAGCCGAATGAAGACAACTGCCGAGTGGATCACAATGGGGTTGCAGATCATTGCCAGCATATAGATTGTAATCTACAATTGTTTAGTGAGCGAGCTATGTGGTGAATGTACTGCAGGGCACTAACCTGCTGATATAGGAACAACTGGTTGACGTCGACTCTAAATAGTGCGCGTTAGCATTCGGATCTGTACAAGCTTTCCTTAGACCATACGTGTTGAGACCAGCCTGCGTCGCGCCACCAGAGGAGAAGAAGAGCATATCGACATAGGAGAATTTCCCGATTCCGGCAAGGATAAGCGAGCCGATTAATGCCATGCCAATTATATAAAGGTCTAGTCGTATCCGGTCAGCAAGGTCCTTCCAATCCCCCGGGGCTTGTTCGCATACAATGGATCAGAATGAAATTGAGATGATGGAACCGCGGCAATTGGACCTTCGGAATCCAGCGAAACCAAGGTCTCATCTTGTCTACGCTGACGCTCCATCTTCCCAGAATGTTCCACGCCATTGTGATTGTGTCGCAGAGAGAGAGGGTAGGGAAGAGGCAATGCCGTGTCGGAGGTAGGATATGCGTGGCAAATCGCGTCAGGATATATCGTAGGATGCCATAGTCCAAATCAAGGCGAATTCAGTTGTCGATGATGGAATCGCCTGTCGCGTAAGCCGCTTCACCGAAGTTACGTATAGGTGAATGTATACGCGAATGCGCGCGTGCGACGGAGGGTGAACAGGTGCTCCCACCACGGGGAAGGAGTACTGTTAGATATCCATTGTGGCTCTGCGCCCGAAGCAGGATTGAAGACCAAACCAAGGCGATCAAAGGGAGTGCATTGGGGATTAATGAGATCGAGCGGTCTTGGTTCTTGGAGTCGTAGTAGTGTCTTGGTCGACAAAGAATTCAGGTGGCGACGATGTGGAGCGATACGAATTTGGTTTGGATTGTTCTGGTGAACCAAACCATGTAAAGGATCAATAAAAGGGCGGAATTCAGGGAATCCGAAGATCCCAACCGTACAACAACTCAACAAAGGATTATCCAAAGGTTTAAGGTGGCACAGTTGACATCTGACAGTGAGTACAATAGTATCGATGTCGATTTCTTAGTTCCTTCGCCAGCTGCACCTCCGGTCTAGAACGCCGATCTCTATTTAGAGGAAAATGTGGCTGTAGGAGTGGGATATTCCCGGCATGTCATCATAAAGTGCGGATATAACAAAAGGGGTTGCATGCTTGTTTATAAGGCGGGTTATATTGCTAGGTTAGTATATATGCCTTCCTCCATCGAGTACAAATGTACAATAAGAGCAAGAATCCATTGTGCGCTACTCCCTCTGCTCAGCTCTGTCATCGTCTACCGTAATTGCGGCCGGTTATTAATGCATCAGAAACCTATCAGACACCAATATTTTATGCTCTGCAGCGCCCCCCTGCCGTCGATATCACCTCACAGCCCCGAATCATCCTTCAGCCAAGCCGGATTTCCGTTGTAGTACGTCTTCCAGTTCGTGCAGGTCTGCTGCCATGCCGATCCAGGCAGAGTGATCTCACTCTTCCGCTCCAAGAACTGTACGCCAAGTCCTTCGCCGATATGCCACGCGATATGACAGTGCATCAACCACGCACCCGGGTTGTCGGTCGGGAACGCGACCACGACCCATCCGCCTCCTGGGAGGAACGTGACATCGCGGCGGTCAGGGTTATCGAACTTGAGGTCGGCGACGTTGACGTTTTTGTCAAAGATGCCCTGGCCGCTGCCGAGGATGTAGAAGTCGTGACCATGAAGATGCATGGGATGGGGGATTGGGACTCGTGTCTCGGTGCCGCCTGTCTCTTGGATGATCCAGAAGGTCCATTGTTGACCGGCGGGGATTTCGATCAGGTTGGAAACTTGGGGGTAGTCGGTGTTCCCGTCGATCAGGTACTGCAAGGTTGGCTTCTCCCATTGAACGTCAATAGCCGTCATGTTCACGGCCCAGACAACCTATCACGATTTTAGCAGAGATCCATTTCGCTATCCGGACGACCGATACTTACAATGCTCTCGCCGTTAGTGGTTACCTGCTGTCGACCCAGGTCCACATCCAAGTTCTGGGCCTGGGAAATGAAGGACTCGGAAGGCACGTTGTTCTTGACCCACGGAACCAGCGGAGCTTCGTCGGCGCAGGTAGTCGGTACCGTAAAACCGGTCGTGGTTGGATCGGCGTTCGGCGCTCCATCGTACTGGAATATGCTCAGCGCAGAGAATCGATTCGCTGATGCACATGGTGCTGCGGCGATAGCGCGGAACCAGTAGTTCCCAACAGGCTGGTTAGCTTGAATAACAACATCATACCGTTGCCCTACACGGATGCTATTAGAACCATAGGACTAAATCCGGGAGGGAAAGGCTTACCTATGGCGAGTAATATCCATTCTCTGTCAATTGGCTGAACTGGAATAAAATCTCCAGTGATAATCTTCATTTTATGCCCGTCCAGTGACACTCGAATGTTACTGTCGACTGACGTGTTCGCTAATCTCAAGCGATACTTCTTTCCTGGGGTCAGCTTGACTTTGTTATAGCTCCCACCGCCTGAAGTAGGGTGCTTGTTCGTGCCGTTAATCAAGATCGTGTCCCCTGGTGGCGGCGGTGCTTGAACCTGTAGGTTTTGATGGGCAATGGCATTGATTTGAAATGTGGTGGGATAGTACCAATCCGTGACAGAGTACGTGCCCAGATCTATGTCATAGTTTGCCGCAGCAGGGCCATTGATGATGACGGTGCCGACAGCGCCGTCGCCGTATTGCGCACTGTGATGGCTGTGGTACCATGTTGTGCCAAACTGTGTAGCTCGGAACGTGTAGATCTTGGTGTCACCCGGTGCAAGAGGGCCTTAGATGAGTTAGAAAGCGCAAAGGAACATGACTAAAAGAGTTCCCTACATTCGGTTATGCCATTGACTCCATCTTCTGTGACTGTGTTTAGCATACGGATTCCGTGCCAGTGGATCGAGGTGCCGTTATCAGGCAAGAGATTCTTCACGGTCACAGCAACGGTATCTCCCCAATCTGCATTTGGCATTAATCGATGACTTGAAACAATAGTAGTAGTACCCACGCACCTGCGATGATTGTTGGACCGGGGAGCTGATTGTTGAAGAGCAGACAAGTGCGGTCCCCATTCCCATCCGGATTACAGGTCGTATTTCTCAGTTCCAGCGTATACTGGACAATGGTTAGAAAACCCAAGCAAACTATAGTCATTGCCTGGATCCACTCACATAGACTGTCTTCCCGGTGTTTGGCCATTTCTCGTCAAAATCAGTAGCGATACTAAATCCATTCGACCAGCAACTCCTTGTCAAAGGACCATTCTTGCAAGAAGAATCAGGCGCTCTACTCGTCGTAGTTGGAGCCGCGCTTGACGTGGTATTAGCTTGCCGACGGACGAAGCCACCGCTTGCTAAACCGCCAGGTCCCCATAATATATGATCGTAAGGTAGCTGAAGGGCAAATGAGGAGGTAAGGAGTGTTGAGACCAAAAGTAGTAACGACCGCATAATTGTATGAGTTTCGGTATTTGCTTAATATGAATCGATATAGTGAAGGAAAAACGCAGGAGAGGACCAGTTAAAGCAAATACGGCATTTCCATAGGAAGATATAGGAGAATGAAGGAAGATGCTCAAAGGTTGATATACTTACTGCATCTTTGCGGCCTCTGAGCCGTACCGCTTCCGGCATTTCTGCCAATGTTTTTTAGGTCCAGCTGCCCAGCCTGTGCCTTGTTTCCATCGGATAAAGTAGCCAATGTGGAAGCATCGAGCCATCAGAAAGACCTTAGTTTGCCTTAACAGAAAGATTGGAAAGCCATTTCCGGGAAACTTGGTTACCTAACTCCATGCCGAATATAATCGCTAACTCCCTGTGTCATGCAAATGGACCATGCATCGCTTGGTCTTAGCTCAATAGACGTTGTTGAAGTTCAGCCACACGAGAACTTGCAGATCGACTAGCAATTTGATGCAAGAGATATGCAAGTCTCGGTGGCGCGTGGAGTAGTTCCTGGTCTATCAATACATGTCAGCGTCAAAAGCGGATCCTATAAGACTGCATCTCGACAATGCTTTCATGCGCGGTTTGGCGAGACCGGGGTAACCGAATCCACTGAATCAATGACTGAGAAAAAGTGTAAGATGCTTCGACGAAATTAGAACAGTGCCGGCAGACTGGAAAAACTGAATGTGAGCATCTCCGGATGAAGTTGAAGATAGCGGAAGTTGCCATTGGATGTCAGTAAGATAGCTTTATGCTGGGTGGATTGCTGAAGCAAACTATTGGCGGCATAATTGGTTGTGCGACGTGGGACATATCGCCCAGACTAAGAAGATCTAATTTTGTAAGGAGTCGTTTTTGCGATTCGGAGCAAATAGTATTGCTAAGGGCGCTCTGATTCTCGTAATAGAGAATATGCAGCGGCGGACAGGTCGAAACTGATTGGCATGATTCCCTGGAGAAAGTGGGCCACAATGATGACTGGATACTTTGAATGTTACATCGGAATATCGAAATCCGAGAAGAACGAGGAACAAAGTCGACCCAGGTGGTCTGAACCATATTAGGAGAACACGGACTCGTATCCATAACGCCAGCAAGCCTCACTCCTCCCGTGATGCGAGAACCGGACAGGACTGAGGTCAGTGAAGATGGAAGCTGGCCAATCGCCAAGCATAATTACCGTCAAGCCACAACAAAGCACATTGAGAAGTTGGATCAATAATCTCCTAGTGTCCCTCAAGTAGGGATGCAGTAGTCCACAGACGGCGGCACAGGTGACAGGAAGGGTCACACGACCATTAAGTGACAGAGCTGAGAGCATAGTCCAATCGGAATTTGCAACTTTCCCATATACTTCAATATTCGCCCAGAGCGGTTGAGAAGCACAATGGAAAGTCCCCGATCCAACAGTCGTGGACGATAAAAGCGTGGCGATTGCCAGATCGGCTTCGATGCGCTGTCCAGCTTTCTGCCAAAGACGCCGAACCACACGCATATCTGGTCGTCGAAGGCTAGCTCAGATGCATGCGCAGGATCGAATGACACATGGATCTGTACTGTGTACACGGCTCATTGGCCAAGCAGGACGGTGGAGCGATAGTTTGGGGAGAATATACATGTAGGCTTGTAGTTTGAATCGGCTCCCCGAGCTGGTTGCCGATCCTGCCCCCCTTCGTAACCTTATTATTGATGTTGGATGTTCCGTTTAGCTTCGGGACCAGGGTGCCCGCCTGATGCTTCTAACCGGAATTGGAGAAGTGACCTGCGCAGAAGGCGAGTGTCATTGTGTACGGGATGGTAGACCGTATATCCAAATATAGCACAGTCTTATCGGAGAAAACGGGGTCTTCACGAGACCATACCTCCTCGGGCAGTAGTAACCGTTACAAAGGAAATATTTCGTCCAGCCTGTAGATTCAAGAAGCTGGTCGTATCCTGTATGCGTTTTCTTACCCGTCGTATCGGGTTACGTACCAGTATGTGCAGCATAGTAGCCGAACACGCAGGCTGCAAAGACGGCGACCGCATCCGAGAGCTCCATTTTCATGTCATTGAGGGGGCTGGGTAAGGCCACGCTCGGTTTTCCGGAGACTGGACAGGTCAGAGCTGTTGGGAATACCCGATCGCCAGGAACGCTGTTTCATCAACAGTTCACGGCAGATCAGTGTGGTACAAAGAACAAAAACTGTGTTCCTTCGCCCGTCTGTTCGGTGCGAAGGGATGAAGTTGTTCCTTGACTAGCCTGTTAATAGTACAACTGTCAGTGAGGTATTCAAAGACCCAAGACAGTCCTCGTGGGCGGGGATTTCGTCCCCAAATTTGAACTGTGGTCGTATCCATGTCCAAACATAGCATTTCCCAGCTTGTTACTATGGTAGCTCACGCCACGTCCCGGTATCTGGGTCAAAACCTGTTTGGGACGGAATCGACAGGGAAGCAAATGGAGTCTTGGATGGCGGGTAGAGGCCTTTGCACTTTGCAGACTTCCAGAATCCAGACGCCCAAGAGGCCAAGCCGTCAAGCCGGGCTGATGGGAAGCCCAGCTCCAATTATAAGGTGGGCCAGTTACCGTTGCACGACGTCTTGACAAGCAATATGAAGGATTGGCGCCATCATGGAGATTTACATAGTAGGGGCGCTGGGTACGTACCATAAGTGGAGAGGGGTCGGCTGTTGTGGGTGAGAAACCAGAAATCTTCTATTAGTCGGAAGCTAAGGAGACTAGGGAGACTGACGGGATTTTCGGAATTTCCAGGCGATCCCCTTGCATCTCTGCCGCCTTGCAGATATTGTTATACAGATTACAAGGGGTGTCGGTGAAATGTTAGTACAGAATGGTTATTGTTAGAGATTCGGTTATCCCTAATGGCATAGATTGTGGTTTGTGTGGCATCGGATCCATGTTCGTAAAAGTGCTCCTCCTCAGCCAGCCTGCATATCATCATAGCATAATCCTTCATCTTACTGCTCATAGTTTCTTCACTTCGCATTCTGCATGCACTCCACCAATATTTCCTTTAATTTATACCCGATTAAGCCACTCTTTGCTTTCCCGGTGGTATGAGTAAATATGGACGCTTAGCTGCTTGCATCTAGCTAACGCAGCCCTCTGTGGTACTGCGCCCAGACCGTCTATCTAGGCTTTTTGAAGCGGCCCGACCATGCATTCTCCGCGGGCTGAAAACTGCCCAGCGACGGACCTTGGCCCCGGGCCAACTATCAGACAAGACGATAATCGTTTTCATAGGCTGATACAACCCCGAACCACCCATCTAAGCTCCGGTCTCCATGTCCGAGCCGCTGGCTGTGCTTTCTTGTGGTGGGGTTTGTATATTACTCAGTTAAGTACGGGATATACGGCAATGCAATTCCATACACCTGTTGTCATATCTGTTTGGATCGAGTCTCTCGTTTTGTTGTGTCCTCTCTTCCGTGTACAGGTCCGTCTCTTCCACTGTCCTCCGTCAAGTCTTGACTATCCCACTCACAATGCTATCTGCCTCACGGTCCTTTGGACTGGCTCTCCTGGCAATTGCAGCCAGGAGAGTGTTCGCCGACGAAGACAACCCATGCAAATCATTCGGCATTGACTTCCAAGATAAGGAGTCGTACTTTCAAAATCTTCTCTCCACAGATCCCTTCACGTTTGTCCAACAGTTCTCCGGCTGCAATGATGACTTTTCATACAACATCCTAGGTAGACTCTGTTACGTGTGATTGACGCCACACTGTTCACTGACACTGGTAGCCGATCCTAATGGAGACCAAGTATTGTGTTCAGATACCCCTCTGATACCAGACAATACCAATCAGATGTCGACATGGTAAGGATGCCTTTCTATGTCCAGTTGTGGAATTGAGGCTGACAGCGCCAAATGTAGTCCAACACTTAAAAACGAACTCTTTTCTGGTCTGTGGTCAATCATTATTATGAGCAACAATGGAGATAGTGGCATGCCGATTGCTTATCAAAGAGATTTCTCGTTGAGCGTCGGCCCGCAAATCACTACAACCGTAAGCATGGCTTCTGATGCCCATTTCTGAGTAGGATCAAGCTCACCAGTGTAGTATACGCCCACCATCACGGCGTTGGAAACCATCACCCCAACTTCCACAGCCGTCATTTGGGAAACAGACACATTGACAGAGACCCTACCCCCGAAAACGACCGCCGTTCCCCGAACGGTCACTCGAACGGTCACCGTCCGACCCAAGCGCGTGACTACGACCACAACCAAGACGCTGCTGACGCTCAAGATTGTAAAACCTACTATCGTAGTCACCAAGACCACCAAAACCATCACGGCGACATGCAGCAGACGTGGACGACAAAACCATCCTGACCCAACATGCCACATTCTCCCGACCGTAATCCCGGTTCCGCCAGCACTCCAAACCCTAATCCTGGGAACCCGTTCGATCCGCATCAAAGGCCGCGATGTCCACGACTACCTGGCCGACAAGGAGCGCTTCGTCCGCGAACGCCGCGACCGGTTTGCCGATCTGGAAGAACCGTCTCACCAACTTGAGAAGCGCGCTCCGGACCAGGCGACGCTGACCGTCACAGATACCGATACGGCTCATTATCCCACCACCACCAATATCCTCACGGCCAGCCCCCCCATCGTCATCACGGAGACGTCTGAAACTACCACTACGACCACGTCCACTCCACCCCCCGTTACGATAGTGACGGGCAGGACGCAAGCGCCGGCGGTCACGGTCACCTTGCCAACGCCGACCAAGACGAAGAAGAAGTGGGTGATCGCTCGCACCACGTCTTATCGCACCTACACGCGCACGGTGACGATCACCACGAGGGTCACACCGTCATCTGTGAAGACGGCGTGTAATCGACAAGGTGGTGTTCTGTGGGGATAGTTTGAAGGTAGGGGTGGATGGTGGTCTCGAGATTTTGGAACTTGGATGCCCAACTTAGGGTATGGTCTCTTCCCTAGAAAAGAAACATTGTTGCATCAATTGAAGAGCAAAGCTGCGACGCTGGTGGTCGCTGTCCAATATAGTAATGGGATGGAGAAAATAATGCAAATATAGTTAAGGTCTTTGAAGTAGATGATGAGCACCCATTCAAGTGACCTGCCGAATCCGATATGTTCACGCCCATGAATAAATCAGAATATGGTTTGATGAGAATCCAGAGATGATCCATTTTCATGGGATAATACTGAAGTGCAACTGCCTCGACTTTTCTGAACACTACAAGACTGTGGGCGACATGCTTGAAACACACCATAGAGTCTTTTTAAGACCTTGTCAGCATAACGAGGATGGAGGGAAGAATGGACTTGTGTGGAATCCCTTCACATGGGGAGATGTGGTTGATATATTCCGTATCTGGGAGAGTGAACAATAGGTAGTGGTGGCCGAGAAATGCGAAAAGTCCAACAGGACGCCAGTCGGAAGTCGACTGCCCGAACCGTATACAAAGCACAGAGGATTGCAAGGACAGCATCAAGGTGATGGAGCAGACGACTGAGTTGAGTTGGTTCCGCAATACTAGTATATCATTGCGAGATGCGACGGCGCCATAACGTGACAAAACGCTGCGAGGTATCACTCCCACTCCCAAGAACCATCATCAAGCTCGACGCATCGAGGAAAGACATGTACAAAGAACTCCAAGAAGCCAGAGACGCGCGACGGCTTTGCGAACGGAGAAAGGACATCGTTAGATATGCATACCCCGCCCTGATACAACCCCAGCAACGGACAGGGCATGTAAAGGGACCTGACGGGATCAAGCAAAGAATAACTCATGCATGGCTGTGAAACGGCCGTTCCGGAAGCCTGTCGTGCCCTTCCGACAGGTGTTAGGTCGATCTAGTTCGATCTCCCAATTCCCAATGCCACGGAAAGGGGACGACGACCATGCCCACATCGCATGCGCTTCGTAACCTATGGAACGTGTCAAGCACGCCATGCGGCGACCGGCCACGTGACATCGTCAAGGTGATTCTGCAGATCTGAGACCAGCGGGTCCGGAAGCGGCGGGGCCGAGAGGGGAGGGCGAGGGTGCCGTCCCCGAGGAGAATCCTGATGCTGAGGTTGGCACGGACTCCCGTGGCGGGCTCTCATAAGCCATACCAGCGTTCGGGGTACAGAGCGGTCTCAATGTTGGCGAGTTAGTCCCTGCTGCTTTGCCTAGAGGAGAAAGTTAGCAATTCTGCGGTCGAAAATCGAATGAAAGCATAGACGAGACGATAACGCCGACGTACCTTCATCATCTCGATCCGCGCCTTCAAATTCTGCGTCACTTCCGCCGCCCGCTTCCAACTCTCCGCACCTCCCCCACCTCCCGCACACCCGCCGTTGCTCCCCAAATCCCCACGGCCAAGCGCACCCACCCCACTCCCCTCATACGGCACCTCCGGACTCCTCAACGACCGCGGCGCTGGCGACCCCCCGAAAGCATTCGAGCGCGTCGGGCTCAGCTTCTGCCGTGCCAGCGACGACTCCATGCTTGGGTGGTTCTCCTTCCCTTCTGCACCACTATGCGACCCCGTGGACATCGAGTTGAGGCTGCCGCCCGACATGAAGCGTGACGGGCGCCCGTTCGCATACCCGGAATCGTAGCGCCCACCGCCGCCGTTGAGGCTGGCTTGGTCGCCGTAGAGCTGCTCGCTGACATCCATGGGCGGAGGGCTCGTGGCGCGGACTTGGCGGCTGAGCTCGCGCTTGAGTCGCTCGACTTCGCGGGCTTGTTGCTGGACGGTCGACTCGGCGGCTTCGGCGTCGCTGCGGGCGCGGACGAGTTGGGTTTCTTTGGCTTTGATGCTGAGCATGTCGCGGGTGTGGTTTTCGATGAGCTCGGCGTTGTGATTGCGAAGTTCGTTCATCTCGGACACGAGTTTCGCCCGCTCGGAGCGTAGCTCGTCGTTATGTTTGTGTAGGCGCTCGTTCTCGGCGCGGAGCTCGTCCAGTTCGGCATGCTCTGCAGAATTCAGTTGCGTGATGGCAGATGTATGAGCTACAGGTGCGGGATCCTGGGGAGGAGGAGCGGCACGGCCAAGAGGACGCCCAGCAAGGCCACGACCGAGCCCTAATTTCGGTTGGGCCGGAGTAACTGCTTGTGCAGGCTCTTCGAACGGAGGAGGTGATATTACTGATCGTTTGGGTGATGCCATTCCTGAAGGGGCTTTCAGTCCTCCAATGGTTCGGTTCGCGGCCGGCATCTTGAGTCCTCCTTTTGGGGGCGCGAGCTTGGAGACACCGGATCTGGCCGTAAGCCGTGGTGCCAATGGAGTTGGAACAGCATATTCCTCTGCTGGAGGCGCCGGTGTAGGAGCGGGTTTCTTGACACTACTTGGCGGCCCGGGCCGTTTGCCAGGCATACCCCTCCGTTGCACGGCAGCAGGGGCAGCTTTTGGTGGCGGTGCTGCTTTCGGCTTGTACTTCGCTCTCACCTCTGCGGACTCGTAGAACTCTTTGATTTTCGTTTTCCGGATTTCGTCCAAACCGTCGAGATGCTGGTTCATGAGCCGATCACCCATGATCTTCCACAGGGTTCCCAATACCTCTGCGCCAGCGGCTCGTTGAACTTCTTGCGATTCGGTTAACAGCTTTGTGGATCCTTCTGCGATGCTCTTTACCTCCTCCAGCTTCGGTGCATCTCGGGTGGTCTTCAGGCATCGTATCAAGAACTTTGTCGACTCTAACTTGACTTGGGGATTCTTGTGCTTCAGGAACTCCAAAATCTCCTCGAGGCATTCCGACAGATTTGTGGATAGGAATACCGCGTCGAGTGCAGAAGAAATCGCCTCAGTAACGGCCGCTTTCTTCTCCTTTAACCGTTCCATCATTGGACTCATGATCGTGGATCGATACTTGGCAAAACTTTTCCGCAAACCTTTGCCGAGCAGTTCGACGCAGTTAGCCGACACGGTCACAACAGCGATGTTGGCATCCTTCATGCACTTCGCTAACGTCCGGATAATATCGTCAAAAGGACCCTCATCAATTTTCGGATGGTTGATGGCGACCTGCAACTCGTCGAGAGCTTCTTTCCGATCCTTCCATTTTGTCGAAGCAAGGCGATCCTGGAAATCCTTTGGTATTTTCGGGAAAACATTGACAGACTCGTACTCCGGCTCGAGATCGATTTCGGCTTCCTCCTCTTCCATTCCACCCGCATCGCCGCCGGATGTGGGCATAGCTTCTTCGGCGGCTTGTTGCGATCGTAGAAGCCGCTCCTGCTTTGGCGGAGGATCATCCCGGACCTTGTCGAAGAGCTTCTCCAGGTCCGCCTGCTGTACGGGTTTCAGGTCATTCCAGAAGAGCGGCTTCATAGCATCCTTCAGCCAGCGGTAGAACTCCACGGTCAGGTTTTGAGCCTCTGCTCGCACGTTCTTGTCAGCATGGCCAAAGACCTTTGGGAGAAGCTTCAGCACTGGCTTCGGTTCCACCGTCTTGCAACCATAGGCATGGTATATCGCAGTCAGCGCGGAGAGGGTCGCAGTTATGATCTTAGGTTGTTTATGGGAGAGGATCGGGATCAGTTCCTCGATGATCGGGTCTGGTTTATCCAGTTCGATATACAGTAATACCGCTTCGAGTGCCTTTTGCTTTGATACTGGTCTCATCGCTGCCAAGCCTTTCTCCACGAGCGGAGTGATCGTAAGATTCCGTGTTCTACAGATTTTCCTCACATTAGCCACCCGACATACCCATTCAAGGGGACCGATCTTACCTCTGGCATCCTTGAACCCCAGAAATCTGAAGGAAAGAACATAAAGCTCCCATCCCTTCTTGTTGCGCCGCGACGTTCGAGTCAGCAACGGCGCCTTTCCATAGTGAGGATTCTTGGAGGAATAGCCGGACGGTCGGATGAGCTTCGGACGGCGCACTGTCGAATTCCTTTGCAGCAGCTTCATATGCCTCCTTCCGCACCTTCCAATTCTTGTGGACGAAGCGATCTTGCAACGGGAGGGAACTGAAGTCCTCTTCCTTGTCCGCCATGATGAGAGATTCCTATGCGCTGATACAGCACAACAAGGCGGAATATGAGTCGGAAGAGGTCAAGAAGGTGTTAAGGTGATCGAGACCTCTCGTTGACAACCGTGGGAAACTATGCGCCTTGGTGGTTGTCGCTACGGTGGACGAAGGTAGAGGAGCGGGTGGTTGTTAGGGAGTGATGTCAAGGCAGCCGATAAACGATCCAGTTGCGCAAGGGTCTCGGTTGATAGGGGTAGAGCAGCTTGGAGAATATGGCGAGCCTTCAGTATTATTCAGAGACAGTAATTTGTATGCAGTCCAGATACCTCGACATGTCCTTGTAAGGGGACCGATGTGTAGAATGGATGTTTTCTGTGGATAGAAATGCTGTCAACAAACTTCCATGTCAGTTGGCGGTGCGGGCAATTTGCGGGTTGGCGTGACGAAGGGTGTTGGGAAGGTGCGCCCCTGGACCCCTGCAGGGAAGGCAGGAACAGTGAGAGGGGTCTGGCGCTTTGTGGCGGTGCAGTTGCCTCAGACAACACTCAGATGGGCACAACACCTGATCATACGTGAATGACACACGATCAACAAAGATGAACGTTCATTGACAAGCCATTTAATCCGGAATGCTTAATTGCTCATATACAACATACTATCATATTCAATGCTATTAGAATTCATCGATCCGAAAGCAAAAACTTTTGATGAGGTCGCGATTCCCCCGTTCTCCGATCCATACCAGAGACGCCGCGCATGCACCTCGAACCCCATTGCGGAGTCGAACATGTAGCGTGAGGAGTCGTCGAGAACCATAACCTGACCGTCGGGGAAAAGCAAGCGTAAAAAACTCCCAGACGCGATGCAGAATGTCATCCCATGCAAATGATCGTTCCGTCGTTGGATAGGACCCCTCAAGCAAGCCGTGCGTGCTCCACGAATGCCGGATGAGAAGGAAGGAGACCCAAAACTCAGCAATGAAGCCCCTCCTTGTAGAGTGAACCTCATCTCTTCGTCTTACCAATCGCCAACGCGCCCAACGCGCCCATGGCCCTTTCCAATTCCGCTTCCGCAACCATGACCGTCCCCGCCCGTGCCGTGCTCAGATAGCTCATCTCCACGGCGCCGGGGCCAAACGGATCCGGGCCACCCTCCATCACGCGCCCACCCGCCATCCCACCGACCAACTTCCCCGCCACCCCGCACACGATCCCCGTGCTCTCCAGCGGCAACGTGCGCAGATCCAGCGTGACTGGAATCAAGATGTCCTCTTTGCTCCCCAGCAGCGCGCTCTCGCCGTCGGGCAGGTCAAACAGCGGCAGGAGGATTTTCTCCATCAGCACGGACGGCGACTCAGAGGTCGTGAGGGTGATGGAGAGGAACCGCGGCGGGCCGATGAGAGCGCGGGTCAGCGCGTTCTGCAGCGTCATTTCGGTGGGCGTGGTGGTCGGGATGCTGCGTGGGGAACCACCTGCGAAACCGGAGGCGGGGCGGGAGGATCGCACGGTGCTGGAGGGTGGCTCTCTGCGAGCGGCGCACTGGATCAGGCGGAGGTGGGTTTGGGCGTCAGGGGCGATGTTGTGGCGGGTCAGGAGGTTGAAAGTGCGTGTCTCCAGTTCGGTAATGGAGGTCGGCGGGGGAGTGCCAGGAGGCGCTTGGTGATTGACTGATGTGGCAGGTGAAGGGTTGGAAGACGTCGGCGAGGAGAGGTTCCTCATATGGCTCGGGTTGGATGGGTGGGTGTATGAGGACGAGTCGTTTTCGAAGGTGAAGCCGCGGTCTTCAAGCGCCTGGACTACTTGTTGACGTGACTGGATTGGAACCAGGATGTAGTCGGAGAAGTACGTGGTGATGAAAAAGATGGAACTATAGTTGTCAGCGAACCCGTTTACCACTGCATCGCACCCTGGCTCCAGGAGCAGACCTATACGTACATTCCAGCCATGGCCAAGGGACTTGTCAGTTCGAGCACCCGTTGGCCCGCCTCCAGCCCTTCTCCGCCAACCTGGATAACAACGAAATCCTCGTCCGTGATTTCCACCTTGTTCCTCTGCGACTCGGGCAACCCGTCTCGGACGGGGTGGAACAGTGCCTTGGCCTGCTCCCTTGAGCAGACGATCGAACACTCAATTGGCGTTACGGAGATGTTAACAAACGGGTACTCATACGCCCAGGAAAGCGCGGAGCGAGATCTTCCTGCTCCATGGCCTGCATCGTCGCCTGGCGTGGGGGCACTCTTGTAGAGGAGTAGCTGGAGAATAGGCTGGAGGAAATTGCTATATAGTTCCGGAGCGATGTTGACCAGTGCAAGCCTGGTATCCTGGTTGAGGATCATCTTGGTAAGCTTTTCTATCCACGATCATGGAACTCGAGGACGATGACGGGTGAAAAACAATGAGTGAGATTGATGCAGGATGGAGATGACAAAATAAAAGGTGGACCGTGTTCGTTGAAGAGTTTGCCATGAATGGGGGGCTCAGATAGGCAATGGAGCATAGGCAACGCAGCATCATGCATGTAGTTATGTGTTGCATGCAGAGCCTTCCAGGGGCCAAGCAAAATGAGGTGAGGATCCGAATAACAATATGCAGGAGGTTCCGGAATCGACATGATGACAAGAGAAGCAGAATAACAAATCAGGGTTACGAACCAGGAACTGAACAGAGGCCGTCATCAGCGTGATTGATGCATCAAGTGCCATTTTCGCTACCCTGTTCGGTCTACGAAATATGACGACAAAGCCTTTCTGACCTTGTCTGTGTGGTGATGATCTGTTTCTGCAGCTTGGAGAAGAACTGATACCCCACGAAAAGATGCGGCTAGCCTTATGCTAGATGATTCGGAGCGGGTGGTGAGTCCAATCCCTGATCCGATGAGGTGGCGACGCAGCCAGCCGATGGAGATCTCGAGGGCGATAAAAAAGCAATGTATCAAAGACGAGGGGAAAGCGGGCTCCCAGTTCGGCGAATACAAAGCGCTTCACGCGTCTCAGCGATTAATATGTTCTTGTCCAACGGGCCAATGGGATAGGTTGGTTTTGAAATTCATTCCCGACGAAGAAATGTCCACTTGACTCAAAGGGGGGGATAGAAGCTTGTGTAATGGCTGATGGGTTGCAGTGAAGGACGATTTAGTCAAACTTGCTCAGCACAAGGAATCAAACGAGACGGGGGAATTATAAGACAGGTTTGAGAAGGATCCGTATGGGAGCGACAGCGACAGAAACAGCGAAAGAATTGCGGTGCCCCAGATGTTAATCTTTAATGCATCGATACGGCGTCCACATCGAACAATAAACACTTGATCAGGATGGCAACAATCCGGGGAAGAGCGTGGGGGGACCAATGGAAAGCCGCCCTAAAAAGCCTTGAACAGTAAAGCAATGAGGGGTTTCGCAGCGTGCAGGACTGGGCAGTCGGCTGCGTGCTGGAGAGACAAGGGATCGAAGCTGACGGGAAATACGAGGGGACCCAAAATGTGTCCAGGTGACAGTCCAATTAGCTATGGAGAAGGGGCAGTAGAAACGAAGATCCGAAGTTGGTACCTGGGAAAAAGACGAAGAGAATAAGGGAGTTCAGTTCAGCTGGGGAATTGAGGAAGGTTTCTGGGTTTTCTTTAGAATGTCGTGACTGAGCCGCTCCCGTTCCAGTCATACTTTGATATCCGTACTTTACTCCACTCACCAGTTTGGTTCCACCGTCCATATCCCTGGGTAATTATGGACTTCGGACCTAAGTTAGAGATGAGAAGAGTTAGAACTCAGAAGACCCTGATGGACGGCCGGTGCCGGTCCGATATCTGTATCTGAACCACAATTTCTGCTCGACACCTACCATAATTAGCCGCTGCAAGCCTGAAATCGGTCCCAGGCTTGTAACTTGTAAGTTACAATTCGTTCAGGTAGCAAATCCGAACGAATCCCATCTCCGATGGTATCCACGAATTGCAGCATGTCATGCCACTATGCCAGGATAGCAGCTTGGCTACGGGTTCGCGATTTTGCCTGGTTCCAGCCATGGAGGACACACGGCATTACATCAACCATGCCAATCATCACGGTTCGTGTTATGTTTTCGTCTCGTCTCGTTTCATCCGCTGGTTACAGACTCGGTGCGGAATCGGCGCCCGGTGAAGATCCAGATCAGGTACATGTGTCCGGAGCTGAATTCCGATGTGGTGACATCGGACGAACCGGTAAGGAGGACCTGTGTCGGGCCGTTGCATGCCAGGAATGAGGGTGCTCCAGTTGTCCATCGTGAAGTTGAAACGTCGTTTTCTCAAGTGGTCTGATAATCATTCACATTCGGATTTCAAGCCCCCTCCCCAAGCTAAAGCCTCTCTCCTGTACATCATCAGCGCAGTATCAGGGATTACATCGAAATCAGCTGCACGTCGCTCATTTCGTTTGTGATGATGTCCTAGCCCAATAATCAATATCCGGAGAGGCGTGAGCCAGGCCCCCGCACCGCGGCGTGGGGGTCACAAGCTGGGTATCAACCCGAGCCCTTCCCTAACTCTTCTTCCTCTGCTCGGTGACTTTGCGCGCTTCTGATTTCAGCGAAAATGTCAGAACCCGTGAACCGGTCTAATTAAAGGAAATTGGAAACTCGGGTACCGTTATACCCGACTGTCAAAAGAGGTCATTTGAACTGGCTCATGCAAGTCTTGAGTTTGGTACGACGTCCGGGCCGGGATCGATGACAACACAAGACTGCGTGCATGGTACGAAACAATATGGCACACTTACGATCAAACACAGAAGTAGAATCATCCTGTCTCTATCGTATACACCAATTTATCGCAGTCATTTCTCCGAGGGCAATTCTCGCGCCAGCCCTCAAGGCATTTCGCCTCCAGCACTCAAACCCCTACACCAGAGCTAACATCCTCACTTCCCGAGTCCCGATCTCTGCTTTCTAACAAATCATCGGTGATAGCACGACGATTGCACCTTGTGGCAACGGTACGGGTGATGCTGGAAGGTAGTGTCTACACATGTACAATGACGTTGCATCCATCATGCACCATTCGGCGCTGTATTTCCCCATCAATATTCAATACCCCTCATGCACAATGCACCAAACGTAGTAATACCACCTTGGGTTTCATTCATGTTGCGAGAGCGGGAACAGTCTCAATTGGCACCATTAACTGTTAGTACCTGGGTTCGGATTGGAGACATATATGAATATTTGACCGGGCATTAGCACTGATCATCAGCGCTACGAACATATGAAGAAATGTAAATTAGAACTCCAGATAGGGTGTCATGTGTGCGATTCGATGTTATACACTGGCAGGGACATACTTCTATACGGTTAAACCAGCCGCTGGCTTTGCTAATCGCCGTGGTTATCTATGTACTAGCTACTATGTCCCTTACTGTGGCTCACATGGAACATAAAATGTATCGAGACCTTGAGCTTTTGCTAAACACTCCCGGTACACAGTTGATATAACACCAGTTGTAATGTGACAACACGAGGACATCAAACAATATATGAACTGAGAAAAGACCCTTATGGAAACTGAGATGCAACCGAGATTTACTAACACTTATATAGGTAGAGCAATCCTTATTATATATAGATGAGACGGTATAAAGGTACCATGTAAATATTTCCTCCATTTGCTGAGAGCATATTGCTTGAACCTCCTCACGTAGCGCCTTACACTGGCCTGCAGGCGGAAACGAACTCTCGACCATGAACTAAGAGGGCGGTGGGAATCATGCGAGAGGATTTGAATTCATTCGATGCGAAAAAGTACTATCTAACATCGCTACTGTTATATACCACCATAATAGGCATAATCACGCCAACACGGCGAATATAATTTCATGTGTAAAATAGCTCCAGTGAACGTCTTGAAGATGATAGATGAAGATATTTCTGTCTCTCTCCCAGGAACTAACCCCATCCCGATTTTACTGAACAGCCGTTCCTACAAATTATTGGGTGCCGACTCTTCATCAGTGGAAACAGTGACATACTGGTGTGCTTGGCGCCAATGTAGGGGTATCAATTGTGAGAGGCTGGTGAGATTTTCCCCCCCGTTTTGAGATTTTCCCCCCTTCAGAAGTACCAAAACCGCCGCTTTGGAAATTTACAAGGCAATATAGCCACACTTTCAACATTATTTTTAAATTCAAAACTTAGATAGAGTTCTTTAGGACTCCCTCTTGCTCCTAGACTCCGAAATTTAATCCTAATAAGTTGTGGTGTTACGTGATTTAGGATTAAAGTTATGGCAGTTTTTTCATACAACTCACCAACTTCAGCACAAAATTAAACCACAACGCAGGGGGTATGTAGAGATCTAAAATAGTAGGCTCAGTTACCCAGGCTTTAGTATTTTTCTAAGCATTTAAAAATTATATTATTTCGAAGCTGGTGTTGAGCTGTTTGGCGTTGAAGTTGAAATGTGGTGATTTTGGTACTCCTGAGGGGGGAAAATCTCAAAAACGGGGGGGAAAATCTCACCAGCCATTGTGAGATGCAAGAGACTGCCGGAATTTATATAGACTCAATAGCTCATAGTTACCAGTCCCTCTTAAGACATTTGACCCTGGCAACAAGGGTTACGGAAGTAGAAATGCGTGAAAAAGAGGTGTGATCTGCACATTTCCCTAATGACTCTTTGCTTGACGCATCTGTGTAGATCTGGACGACCATGCTCGCCAGTAATTCAGCATATCGGATCGACATAGCGGCCTAACTACGAGGAAAAGCCAACAGCTCTTCCGACCTATATCTCCGTGCGGACCGGATATCCACTAGAAGGCTTTTGAATGTGCTTCAAAATTGTATGCACTCTACTACACTGACCAGGAAAGCGGCGGTGCTCTAATATGTGAGACTCCTTCGATCCACTCTTTCTAGTTGGTGCATGTAGAAAAAATGGGAGTATATAGTAGCGACATCCTCCGCTCGTAATTACTTTCTGGATAGCATCATGAATATAGGCTTCCCAGAACCTGAAGCGAGAATGGCAAGTATTCTTGCTCACATCGTTTCTGGGGATGGTGCTAGATTGCAGTTAACACGGCGAATTACAGGCAGCATAAAGGCATTGCAAGTAGCGATTTCACAGAATAGATAGGCTATTCTTCCCTATCGCCGTACTACAAACAAGTGGAGCGTTGCACCTGTTCGTCTAGGCATTGGAACACTCGGCCAACTGCCTTATCATGGGGGCAAGGAGCAGTTGATGAGCCAAACGCCATCATGACCAAAACCGATGGACGCAATGCAATGTCAACACAAGACTATAGTATCGTACAACCTATACAGTCGAGTGCAACCATACTCAGTACATGGAGCTCACTCATCCTTCTTCCCCTTTCTCAGCTTCCCAAAGCCCATCACCCTCCTCAACCTCCCCCACCGCTTCTTCTTCTCCCCCTCCCGATCCGTCTCGAACCCTGGTCCCTCATCATAGCTCACGCCATTCCCGATGGGTATGCCAGTCTCTCCACCCTGCCAGCCCTCCCACGGCCTGCCGACCTCCCCCGTCCCCTGGATCATCGAAACCGCCCTCGCTTGGGGTCTGAATACCCCGGCAACCGTAGCCTTGCTCTGATCGGGCGATTCATACTCCAGCTTTGATGTCGGCGAGATGGCCTGTAGTGCAGGCTGTGGGGTCTTGGTCGAGGAATTGGGCGCGGAGACGGAGTGTCGTCGATGGGGGAGGACGCTCGAGAGGCGGTGGAAGGGGTTGATGCTGGAGGTATGATGGGTCGGTGTGGTAAGAGGATGGGGTCGATCGGAAGCGATGTAGGTTGTAGTCGTGGTTTTTGTTGGGGAAACGGGTCTGGAGATGGGTGTCGTGGGATTCATGTATGAGTGGCGATGTGTGGAGCGGAATGGGGAAGAGGCAACCCGATTGCTGGGAGGAACAGACAAAGATATGGAGCGGGGTGAGGAGGCCCGGGTTGGAGAGATGAGCTCGGAAACGGGGATACTGCTTGTTTTGGAACGATGGTGTAGTTGGAGACAAAGCGGCGGGCGAGAATGCTCTGGATCATGTCGAAGCACTGGCGATACAGCCACAGTATTGGATTCGACAGGTTGCGGATCCGCGGCGGAAGGGTTCGCTGGCACGGGAGTTGAAAACGTCCGCGTTGGTTTCCTTCCCCGAGTCTGAGTTGAAGCGGACGGAAAAGGCGTCCCTGTTGCCCACTCTTCCTGGAAACATACCCAGATTCCTGAAACGAGGATAAGCTTACGCAATAGATCGTCGGTCTCGATTGGGAATGACTCTGGAGTTGCAGTACGCTCCATAAATGAGCGTTGATCTGCGCACACGCGCTCCGTTTCCAATGGCATTTTATCGTGTTGTCGAGCTCGCGAGCCGGGCACTTTGTACTGTGAGAAGATATCCATGCCCGTGGGCGTCATTGTGGCAATGATTGGATGACGCCTTGAGTCCGGCATAATGGAACTGAAAATGAACTTTTGCTCCTCGGTGACGGGCAAACCACCTGCAAGCGGACTGCTGGATCGAGCATGGTTTCTGCGCACCGGTCTTGAGATCCATCGTACCGTCCGTGGGACGCCATGCTCGTCAATGTAGGTAAAATCATACCTCCCACGATTGCGTGGCGAAGCGCGCCATATTGACCCGTCGTTCAAGCAAACGTCCGCATATCCATCGGATGATATACGGATGAGGCCAAGTGGTTCGCGGGCATCCCAGTTATCTTCGTCATGGTGGGCCAGCAGCCCATCAGCCCGAAAGACGACCATGTCATCTGGCCCAAGTGCCGTGTTGAAATGGTGATGCAGACGGGCGAGCTTCCGGGCGAGGCGTAACGGGAGGCGGGAGGATGGGACTACTTCGAAAGCTGGCTCGGGGCGTCCGCTCATGGCGATCTCTTGCAGCTGGAGGAGGAGGCGAGGCTTGATATGGAGCCTTTGGTACTTGGATCCCAATGGCGGAGGGTGGGCGAAATTGAGGGTTTGTTTGGGACGGCATTCCGAACCGCCTTTCCGTGACGACTTTATGCTATTGTTCGAGGAGGCATCCGCAACGTTCCCTGGACTTGCTCTTGATTGAACGGGGGTTTCGACGCTGCTCAATGATGGTGACTGGTTTCGTACGTCATCGTCCCCTTCCTGCTGTGCTGCAATCCGAACCTCAATGGGTAGAGGTAGTTCGTCTGCAAACGATATAGTCTTCGGGGTCTTCACAACTGACTGTGACCTGGACCTTATTGTCGGCTTAAGGTTACTCGACCGCGGACCGTTCCTATACGACAGGCCGCGGAGTCCCGCGGCCGGTAGGGTACTAAGGGATTGTGGTAAATAGAAGTAGGGATTCGCACCGGGACTCAGGTCCCGTGTAGGGGAGAATTCGTGACCATGTTGGGCAGCAGCGTCGGCTGTGAGGAGCGACATGAACATGGTGATGGAAAGGTAAATTCACAGTCACGGTTTAGTCTATAAACCGGGACCGCGGAAAATGATCGGTGAGGAACATCGTAGCTCCTCGAACGACTGGGGGGCGGACGTATCGTGAGGATCGTATGAGGTTAAGTCGGTGTATGGATGCAGTGCGGGGTCTTGGATGATTTAGTCCTGAGAGGCACGATCGTATAGAAAGAGAACGGGATCCCAAGTATTGGATGAGAAAAGAAGGAAGCTTCGTCGCCTGAGATGGAGCATCTAAACTCAATCCTTTCACTTGACTTTCGCAAAGCAAACCGAGGGCGGTATGTCGCGGCGTTTCCTGTCACAAAATTCCAGGGGACACGCTCTGGAGGCAAGGGGGGCGTTCAGAACAGTATTAAGTGGGATGGTGACGCGAATGATGTGTAGTGCCAATCACCAACCGGAATCGACGGATGGGCTAGGGTCATAGATTGGGAGGAATGTGGTGGGTGATGAAGAAGCTCGTGTAGGGCGTAATCAAACGCATATAAAGTAGTGAGATCAGCAGGAAGGGTGGACTCCACCAGTGTAGCAGTGACGGAGAAAGCGACTCAAGGCGTTTCAACTATCATCACCTCTCCAACCTCTTTGATTCGAATACCATCTGGATTCTGACCTCACGTTGAACTCGAAAAGTAGTGAGCATGACATGGGCATCTTGGCTCTCACAGATCAGCCCTACTTAAACACAAGCAACGCCGGGGGCCAAGTGCAGACATGTTAAAAACCAAAAACGCCTCACATCCCCACTCGGACTCCCGACCACCCGACCGAGTTGAGGATCACCGCCGTCATTGGATGACCAAAGTGAAGGACTTGGGTCTTGGGGCCTTTTCGTGTCCGGTCAAAACTCAAATCGTCAAACAGGTCTCGACCAACGAATGCTCCATAAATTGGTGAGGTATGTGCTGAGAGCCTGAGACGGTATGACCTAACTGCTACGGATTTATGTTTCTGTTCCTCACCCGGGGAGGAGAGTTGTTCCAGTTCGTACGGACGCAGGGTGAGTTTAATACGCGTACATCCGTACATCCGTCCCTACGTCCGTATGTCCGTATCCTGCATTTCTCGGTATTGACTTAGCTGAGACATTTGAGACTTGGGCGGTATTCCATTCGCTCGCTTGGATCGAATGCTGCTCTGATAGGTCGATCTTATACAGAAATTGGCAGTGCTTGCGGTAATTAGAGAAGTTGCACAACTAGATTTGCCCAGGTGATGAGCTGAGACTCGGAAGCATGCGGGACTGGCTGAGCGAATGAGACGTCCTAATTCCTAAATTCCACCGCAAATGCCGCGTGAAGGTCAGCCTCTTCTAAGCACAAAAATCATCACTGGTCTCTTAACAGTTGATTCACTCTCCTCACTCTTAGTCTGGGAAGTGGGCATGGTGTGGGAACATCGGACTATCAGCGGCCCGAAACGTGGACGAATATCGGCACATCGGGGCCACGGCGAACTCAGAACCTCCGATCCATCACATGCATGAGATCGACGGCCGAATCTAATCCAAACAGTTGGACGATACATCGAATGCTTTCGAGGTCTTGAAAGATATCCGGCAATCTGACAGATAGTCAAGGATATAAAATCATTCGCACAAATGTCAACATGGAGGCAACGAATTGAGCCTCATCGCCATCCCCTTCTTTCCCTCCTCGTCATTTTCCTCGTCTGGAAAGCCTGTCTAGTGGGCATTATATTATTCAGCCCATGGTCTGGCTATGACACGTCCTCCGTCTATCTACTAGGAGAGGGCAATGGCTTCGGTGGCGGAGGTTCGGCCGTAAGAGATTGTGCAGAAGCTGTCTACGACAAACCAACGTCTCCACATCTAGCGCTGTCATCGAGATGGTTGCTCCGGTTCCTTCGCTGGGATGCCGTGTACTTCACCGATATTGCCCGGGACGGTTACCGCTACGAGCAGCAATGGGCGTTTAGTTGGGGCTTTGCGACGTTAATTCGATATGTTGCCGATTGTATGTGCTCGTTAATGCTTGATAATCCACGTGTCGAACCGGCTAACAATCAAGCAGGCATCCATCCCGCATCGTCATCAATCTTAAACTACATCTGGTCTGGCTTGATCATCACGAATACGTCCCACCTCTTATCGGTTTTTGTCCTCTACTACCTCACGCTGTTTATTACGGGATCTTCAAACCACGCAGGTTTTGATGACTCAATTGCATTCACCACTGCTGCGCTCCACGTCCTTTCCCCGGCTGGTGTCTTTTTAACTGCCCCCTACGGCGAATCACTATTCTCCTTTTTACACTTCACGTCTCTCTACTTCTATCTCCAGTCCCTCTACCACAGCAACAAGGCTTTATTCACATCTCCGTCTCCTCTTAGACACCTTTGGCTGCTCCCCTCCGCCATCTTGCTGTCCCTTGCCGTTCTCCCCCGCAGCAATGGCCTCTTCAGCGGGGCGATCTACCTCCTCGACCTTCTCTCCACCCTCTCTCACCCCCTAGCCCGCCTCCCATTCTTCCGCCGTATCCTCTCCGCCACCCAGCAATTCTTTACTTCTCCGCCCCTATTCGCCACTCGCGCACCAACCCACCCGCTCCTTCGAGCATCACTCATCATCCCGTCGGGCCTTCTCGTCCTCCTTACATTCTCATACCCGCAATATCTCGCGTGGCAGCAGTTTTGCGGTGCGTCCTCCGCAGTTCGCGAACCCCGGCCGTGGTGCAAGAGCTTCCCCCCAAGCATATATGCCTTTGTCCAGTCGACGTACTGGGACGTGGGGTTCCTGCATTACTGGACGGTCCCGAACTTGCCGCTGTTCGTCATGGTAGCGCCAGCGCTGTGTCTATTGATTCAAAGTAGTATGGCGGCGATAAGGGGGGAGCTTGTGTTTGAGCGATCGCCCATTTCTCGTGAGAAGATTGGGAAGGAATCGAGGTCAGGAGGTGCCTCTGATGGAGTGAAGAAGGCGAGGAAAGATGATGACGAAGGACAAGAGATACAGAAGATGGTGCTAGCGCGCCTTGCCATTCCGCAGCTCCTGCTCGCGGTCACAGCCATCATGTCCTACCATGTGCAAATTGTTCTGCGGCTTTGCAGCGGATATCCGTTGTGGTATATGGCTGTTGCTTTGGCCGTTCAGGGCCGATGGCAGCTCACATTGATGGTGCCGTTCACAACTTGGAGGATGGTGGTGCCGCCAAAAGCGATTGTGATGTGGATGATCATCTACGCAGGCGTACAGGCGGGATTATATGGGGCGTTCTTGCCTCCTGCATAAGAAAAAGTCGCTCAAGGCTGCATTGTCTATTGTAGAGTATCAGAAAAGTAACATCGGTCGAGAGTTAACGAATGCTATTGTATGGGATCCAGTGTTAGAAAAACCATGGCGCATATATGGAATTCCCCAATTTCCCCCGATCGACCCCGATGCAGATCCAATTCCATCCCTGAATTAATACACGATATGAGAATCATAAATGTGATTTTGAAATGAAGGGCTCCACGTGCAAGACGCTTGCAAATTGATACCAACCAGCCGAAAACACCTATCGACCGGACCTAGGTCCGACTACTTGTCACTTGTGACACCACCGCACGCCTGACCGCTGACAAGGTTTACTGCAGTTCGGCCGCCGGAGCCTGCTGCTGCGGCGGCGCTTGTGGTTGCGGAGACTGCGGCGGTCCTGGGTGTGGCACGCCCGCCACCTGTGGCTGTCCTTGAGGTGGATAGTATCCCTTATATTCTTGGCCTTGCTGGGGAGGATATTGACCAGGTTGTCCCTGGGGATACGCGTACTGCTGCGAGGAGTCCATCGGGGCGCCAACGGGAACTGCACCAGCGACAGGACCCTTGGACGGGTCGAAGCCTGTTTGATATTGCGGAGGCGGGGAGCCAACCATGGACATGTGGCCGGGGTACTGGTGCGACATATCTGGAGGAGGCATGTTCAGTGGTTGCTGCTGGGCAGCGGCAGCGGCAGCGGCAGCTGGTGGTGGGGACTTCTTCTTGCGGAGGAGGTAGAAGATCAGGGCACCGATAAGCGCAAGGCCGGCAATGGGTCCAATAACGGCGCCCGCGATCCATCCGTTGCCGCCCTTCTTCTTTTTGACGACACCGGTACCATCGCCGCCATTGTCACCGTCGCTAGGGAGAAGGGTAGGGGTAAGGCGGCTTGATGTGCTTGATGAGCTGGTGGTCTGGCCCGAGGTGGAGGAATCTGAGGTTGTCGTGTCACGCGTCGTCGACGAGCTACTAGCACCAGGATTGGTTCGGTATAAAGTAACGGCGGAGCGGGGCATATCGCAGCCAGCCCAAACCACCGGTGTGGCATCGCTGAAGTCGTCGTAGACAAGGTCGGCAATGCATACCGGAGCATCAGTAGATGTGCTGCAAGACAGGTTAGATAGATATTGTAGAGGGGTGGTAAGGAAATGCATACCATGTTATCGTAGTATCTGATTCGCCGAGAAGAAGTGACGTTGAAAGGCAACCCGTTGGCATCTCACAATTCCGCGCCGTGGTTGTGCAGCAGCGTCCGTATGTCCCCATTTGCGACCATGTCCTGCCGGTAGGGCAGAACATAGGAGAGACTGGAGACTACTATTAGCAAATGGTTCTTAAGGCGCCGATACATTTCAAATGATCATACAGGTTCCGTGCGTGTTAACATATCCGACGACTGTCTGATCGTTCTGCCTTCCCTCCAACTGCGGAGCAGTGGTGACCATCGGGTCCGGCACAGCTTCTGCTGCGGCCATGGCCAGCAGCGGTAGCAGCGCCGCTGCAAACATTCGGTAGGTTTGCGACATCGTGACTTAATTTCGACTCAAACAAACGAGATTTGGAACGACTGGCTAGACAATAGAAAGAGACGCAACGAAAGAACCGCGTCGAGCAAGAAGGGTTGGAGAAGATGAGAATTGCCGGAGAGGAGATCAACCTCCGGTCAACGAGCGCTCGTACCAAGCCATCCTTCAAAAGCAAGCCGCACGCAATGGATGCGCCGAGTCGCTCACAATCTCTTCTTTCTTCACTAAAACGCGCCACGAAACCGGGTGCAGTTCAGCTACGCCGCCTATGCGAGAAAATGGGAAGATGGTCAAGGGTGTTGTCAATGGCAACCCTTGAAAACCATCCTCTGAGCTCGTATCCAGGCACTTAGGCTGCCAGGACCAAACCGAATTGGGAATAATGAGCCGGGGCCGCTGTCCGAGTTCGTGAGCCTGATTGGCCTCGAAGCGGAATGCTCGGATTTACATTGGTCTGTTGTGCTATCAACCACGCTTGCCTTTGCTTTTGTAGGGCCTAGCCGGGGCTACACGACTATCAGTGGGGATCCCCCGGTCCCTCATGGCTTTTCTTAGCATGAGTCCATGGGGTCACCAAACCAAAACCGAACCTTGGGATCGTGAAGCGGCTCTGTGCATGCGCGTGGTTGTGATACCCGACGGGCGCCGGAATCTAGACTTTTGCAAGACTCGAGAAGACAACGAAAATGCTCTGATCCGAATTGTTATTTCCGGGTGGATGGCAGTTAAACCGAGGGCCAGGCTCATTTACTTGAGGTTCATAGGTAGTATGTGACGGAAGCTCTCAGTGGTACCGTTCCTTGACAAGCCGCGATTCTGTTAACACGAGGGGCTAAATATCACCTGCTCCGGAGTCCGAATTGCAGCGCTCAAGAACGGCTGAAAGAACTAAAAAAATCCGTTGCTTATTGACATTTGACTCAGTCTTAAGTGTTGAGACAGACAGACGGGTAAAGGTTACATACAAGGGCTTGCCCCATTCCAGCACATCATCCCATGCTCGGAAATCTCGGTGAGCCCCTGAGGAGCATATGAGTTGACTTGCGGGGCTGAGCCTGGATTGTTGTGAAGTGTGAACTGTCAAGGAAATTGGGATTGCCTCAGTCATGACCTCGAGCTGTTAAGCTCTACTATGTACGATGATCGGGAATAATAGCCACACTCGCACAGTACGTATTTGTTCTGTTCGGGAATCGGGACTTCGGGTGGAAGCACCTGTGATATCTATTCTTGGTTTCGCTAGAAGAGGCGTGGGGTGAAACTCCAGGAAGAGTACTACAGTGGGGACTGGGGAGGAGTTGAGGTGCTTGATTATTGATACAATTATGTTTCGATGTCCAGAAAGTTAAATGTTAAAAGTACCATCCAGAACTAACCTTATTTTCCCGAATTCATATTTTGATCGGATCAGGATCAATGCATCAATCATCACAGTGAGAGGTGAGTAATGGAACATTGAACTGAAGATGAACTTGACTAGACATGGATCTGTCACCTGACATTCAAACATGGTTGATGCCTAAGGTATTTTGCCAAGGTAAGACATCGACATCTCGTCTTCCCCTGGACGTAACTCCATTGCACGGAACAGTGGTGGAACATTCTCGATTGTTGGTCCAGGTCACGTGTAGCACAGTCCATGCACGTGATGTTCGAAAGTCCACATTCGCATGTTGCGAAGTCGCGCGAATGTCGTGGTCATCATCATCTTTACGCCGCATTCAGAGTCCCGCACGAGAATTGGTTGATCCTTGGTCGAACAGTTATGGCATGCTTTTCGTCACATTAATCTCTTCATTTCTTTATTCCCTTCATTTGGCGCTTGTTGACCAGTAGCCCCGACTGGGAGTCCCCTCGAACTTCGCTTTCTAGTGGGGATGGCTTTACAGGCCAATCTTCTGGCAGCGGTAAGCATTGGATCATCACCATTGTTGCGCGTTATAAAAGTGTCTCCTCAGAGAGCAGCCGCTAATTCTTTAACTCAGAGCGCATTCTCGGCGGGAGTTGAAGCCTTGCCGTCGTTGTTAACCATCCTCTCAACCCCGTGGCGAACATCCGGTCAAAGACCGACTACGAACTCGCGGCCCCGAACACGAATCGTTCAAAAGCAAGACACAAGGGGATTGCACTCTGAGCGGCAGCTAGGTCATGATGCTGTTACCAAGCATGCCTCAGAAGGGGTGACCGTCCCGCTACCCGAGTTTCTAACTCAACCGAATATCGCGGCATTGAAAACAGTCCCGACTGGTCTTTCTCCTTTGACCTGGCAATCTCTGGTGTCAGCAGTACCGCGCAATCGATTCCACTTGACTAACCCCCAAGTTCGAAATCTCTCATCTGTCCGAAGAAATCACTCTACATCGACAACATTCGGTCCATTCGGTCTGCGGAAGGTCGGGGGATATGGAAATGTCTTCGAACAACAACGTCGGGGACTGTTTGGAGGCTCCAATAATAACTCGAATTCGTCATCGGTTCTCTCGCACCTCGAACAAACTGCGAACAACAACCCCCAAAGCGCAACGGCGCAAAATGCCTTCTACTCCGCCTGCCTCCGGGCAAACCGTCCGGACATAGTCGCTCACCGATACCAGACTGGACGCTTTGCCGCCAATCCTGCATGCGAGGCATTGTACACGCGTTCTTTGGAGCGATTGGGAGCAGCCGAGCTCGGACCCGGTGAAGTTGCAGGGAGAGATGCTGCAGGTAACGGCGGCGCACTTTCCCAAGAGCAACTCCAAGCTGTTGGCCAGGCGGTTGCTGGTCGTGTTCGTGCAGCTGGAGGGACCGTCAGTGCCAGAGGTGGCTCAGGCGCCAAGACTAGCCCTCTTCATGTCGTCGTTGATGAATCCATGTGGTCTACCGTCTTCAAACTATTCAGGTTTCTCCTGACTTTTGGGTTCGGCGTATGGATCACAATGGTAGTTCTCAATCTGCTGCTTGAAGGGACGGGGATGCTGCGGAGGGTTAGCGGTCAGCAGCATGCCGAAGCACGACCCGAACTTCAGACCACCCGGTTCAGCGATGTTCATGGATGCGAAGAAGCGAAGGATGAACTACTAGAGCTGGTTGAATTCCTGAAATCACCCGATAAGTTCAGCGCACTTGGCGGCAAGCTTCCTAAAGGTGTTTTGCTCGTTGGCCCTCCTGGTACCGGCAAAACGCTCCTCGCTCGTGCCGTTGCAGGTGAGGCGGGAGTCCCGTTCTTCTACATGTCTGGCTCCGAGTTCGATGAAGTCTATGTCGGTGTCGGTGCCAAGCGCGTTCGTGAGCTTTTCACTGCTGCTCGGACCAAGGCACCCGCGATTGTATTCATAGACGAGTTGGATGCCATCGGAGGCAAGCGAAACGAAAGAGACGCCGCCTATGTGAAACAGACGCTAAACCAACTACTCACCGAGTTAGATGGATTCGATCAGGACGCCGGCGTCATTATCATCGGTGCGACCAACTTTCCCGAGTCGCTGGATAAGGCTTTGACTCGACCCGGACGATTCGACCGCCATGTCGTGGTTCCCCTCCCCGATGTCAGGGGTCGGTTGGGCATCTTGACCCACCACATGCGCAACGTCCAGATCTCCACCGACGTGGACGCATCGGTCTTGGCGCGAGCGACTCCTGGGTTTTCCGGTGCGGAGCTTGAGAACGTCGTGAATCAGGCTGCCGTGCACGCGAGCAAGCGTAAGGCCAAGCAAGTGGCCATGATTGACTTCGAATGGGCTAAAGATAAGGTTCTCATGGGTGCGGAGCGGCGCAGCGCGGTTATTCAACAGAAGGACAAGATCATGACGGCATATCATGAGGGCGGCCATGCCCTAGTCGCTATGTTTACCGCTGCTGCCGATCCGTTGTACAAAGCCACCATCATGCCTCGCGGACACGCCCTGGGGATCACGTACCAGCTACCGGAAATGGACCGTGTCTCCATGGCCAAGAAGGAATATCTCGCTACCATTGACGTATGCATGGGCGGCAAGGTTGCGGAAGAGCTCGTGTACGGAAACGACAACGTCACATCTGGCGCCTCATCTGACTTGCAAAAAGCCACGTCCATTGCCTATGCCATGGTCACTCAAATGGGCATGTCTGACGCCTTCGGAAACATCGATCTCCACTCCGAGTACAACCGACTCTCATCCGAAACCCGCCAGAAGATCTGGGACGAAGTCCACAAGATCCTTGAGGACGGGAAAGACCGCGCCACCAAACTCCTCCTCGCGAAGCGAAAGGAGTTGGACCTTCTCGCCGATGCGCTGGTCGAGTACGAGTATCTGGACAAGGATGAGATGGAGAAGGTCGTCAGGGGCGAGAAACTTCCAGGGAAGATGAAGATGGGCGAAAACGCTCCGATCAAGCTGCCCGACATCGTCGTTCCTGGGTTCGGCGGTCCCAAACCGCCGCAACCGGTGGGTGGGGACGGTGGAGCGCCGCCGCCTCCGCCTCCCGTCGTGGCCCAGGCGGGCTCGTCATAGCGGAGGATGGTCGATCGCGTTCGCTATCGCCGTCCCTCGCTGGCGGCCGTCAGTCATTTGGTTTCTAGACGTAACCCGCGTTCATGAAAGCGTATTTCATTTGTTCACTATCATTGCGAAGGCACTGTTGCCGGGTTGCATCTCGGTTGGGCGTTATGATGCACGAAAGACCACTTGTATATCAAATACCAACTTATAAATCGGAACTCGACTTGAATCAACCATGGCTTCCGTGTGGATTCCAGTGCCGCGACGTGCCCAGTGCTGAAGTAGCCTTGCAGGGCCATCTCGCCTGCAGAGTGACATTTGCCGGGCTTCAAAGCCCTTGAGCCCAATACTGCTTCGGGACGCAAACAGTTAACTTGCATATCACAGCTTAGTACCTTACATGGCCTTTTGACTGCCTTTTCCACGCCTACATAGCCTTATGTCTGCCTTTTACACACCCTAGATAGTGTTTAGCTATCCAATCAAAGTCTTGTCCTGTTTCCTCACCGGTTCCCAAGTCTGTTTTCGGTAACCGCCTTCATGTCTCCCCATATTACCAAGCGGGTGAAGCGCTTCATTGCTACGTGTACAGATGCCAGCGCAGTAGTAGCTTTGGAGGTAGCCTTGTCGGATTGAGTTTCTATATGTTTTATAGGTACGGAATAAACACAATGTCTCTTCTTGTTTCAAAGCCTTTCGCATTCTCCAACTCACTTATCGTGTTCAACCCTTTCACATTCTCCAACTCATTTGTCGTGTCCGCACCGGTATTGAAGCGTGGAACCCACAGCAAAAGAGGACGCAGTCATGGATATTACTGAGATCGCAGAGTCGGTGATATGGGATCGAGAATGGACACCGTATAAAGGCAACAATCCATTGTTTATCACTCTGGTCAACAAAGCCCCCTGATCCTGACGGGCAAAGGGGAAACCACTGGCAAACGATACATTCTGCGGCCTGATCACATGGTCTATGATGGATCCCGTTGTTATGAGCAACGAGACTTCTTAGGGTTGGGCGCGCAGGCAAGGGTTGCGCGAGTCTACGATACAGTCTCCGGGGAAGAGTTTGCGCAGAAGGTTTTCGAGTACTCGATCCACAAACTAGGATACTCGACATGGAGGCAGCAGGCAACCAGTGAGATCGACATCATGCACAAGCTAAGAGAGGCAAGTCGGGTTGTGCGCCTTTTCGACTGGTATGAGGGGATCACGGGCAGTATCCACCGGATCTGCGTGGTACTTTACCCCGTTGCGAACGGCGGATCGCTGAAAGACTGGCTCAACCAGAAGTTTCGAGAGCCGTCATCGACAATGACCAGAGATGAGCTGGTGACGATGCTCATGAACCTCGCGTTGGGTCTGCTGGAGATCCATAACAAGTCCATCCGCCACCGGGACATCAAGCCAGGAAACATCCTCGTCCACAACGGTGGAGTGCTGTACTCGGACTTCGGGCTTTCCCTCGACTTCGAGCCGTCGGGGAACAGCGTGACGAATTCTCCGTATGGCGTCCATACGCCCGTCTACGCGCCGCCGGAAATCCTGGCGATGCAGCCGCGGGACCGCAAATCGGACGTTTTCTGTTTGGGAGATGTGTTTTTGGAGATTCTCGCGGTGTACGAGAAGTCTCGTAGTGGTGGCTCCGGGACGATGCTGAGGCGGGTCACAAGATATGGACAAGGCAACAGTTATAGGTATGCGGACGGGGTTGGAAATGGCAGCATTCAGGGCGCGCTTTATTCAATCTTGGGATGGGATGGGATGCCTGGACTCGAAAATGTGCTCCAGCTTATATCGACCATGCTGGAAGTTGAGCTGAAGAAGCGGCCGAGTGCGTATGAAGTGCTGACAAAGCTTGCCGGGCCATATGGAGCTCCTGCTGCTGCTGCTGCCGACTACGATGACGTTGACGACGATGATGGCGAGGACGAGGAGGGCGAGGAGGGCGAGCAGTAGTAGCGATTATGATATGGCTATGAATGATGAAATGTAAGAACAGATATTGAGACCATGGTCAGGGTGGACAGATGTTTCGTAAGAACGAGTCCGAAGAATATAATGATGTCCTTAGTTTTGACAATCGCCGTTATTTCGGCCAGATAAATATAACTGAATAGAGGTTTGCACAGATGGAATCAATGGACACCTCGATGCATTGATAACTTGCTCTGTGTGCAAATTCGCCGCTTGTCTGATATCCACATGGCCGCTCGGCTCTAAGAATCTGGACTATCACGCGGCGCCGGCTCTTCACTGTTACCCGAATGCTCTAATGGTTGGCAGCCTTTAACCCCCGAGACGTAATCGAAGTCCGCGCCGGAGTGCTGCGATGAGCAAGCAAATGCCTTCCAATAAAGAGACACTCGGGCTGTTGGAGATATGTAGTTGTGGCGCTGGCTGTAATCCTGAAGCGTTGTTGGAATCCTTTCTTTTTAATTCCAACAATGCTAGACAGCTCATTCACTTCGCCGTATCGAAGTATGAGCCGAGCATCCACACCGCAGCACAGCCTAGGAGCGCCGTTGCTCCCATGACCTGTTTGCTCCACGTATTCTCCACCTGCACCTTCGCCGCCACACCATGGTTAAGACCCCGGAAGGTTACCGATGCTCCATCTGCGGCGGCTCTTGAATGCTCCGGTCCGGGTGCGGAAGCATTATGTCTCTTCTGAGCCTCCTCGACCAAGTTCTGCAGCGCCTGAAGTTCCTCTTTCCAGCTCGTCGCATTCCAGGACGCCGCATCTGCCTCCCCTTGAACCTCTACGTTCTGCACGTTGCCAAAAAAGTCCATGACCTTGCGCGCTCGCGCTGCTTCGGCTCCTCCTTCAAACAAGTCGTAGCGGAACCCTGGGCGCGAGTGGATCTGCTCCTCGTCGTATGAATCGAATAGGTCGCCTAGATTAAGCTTGCTTCCTTGCTCGCGGACCTGCGTTTCGAGGAATTCGAGATTATAATAGGTATATCGATCGATCACGGCGACGCCGACGTCGTTGTCTGCATGGTGGCTGTAGGAGGACTCGTCGATTTCGGAAGAACCAGTCGCGATGATGTTGGGGGAGTAGAATTTGCTGTACATGGTGTTCGCCTGGCAGGTGTCGATCATGAATAGCATTTCGTGGTATCTATTGCCCTCCATGAGTATGAATTTGAAGATCTTGGGATGTATGCTCACCTCTTCTTCTCCCACATCTGCGCAAAGGCATCGGCGAGGTCAAACGCACTGATTTCCTCCGCATCCTGGAACTTGAGGAACTCGTTCCCACCGTGCCCGGTCATGTAGATCAAGATGTTGCTCCGATCGTCCGTCAACAGCCTTTTGCTTCGCGGTACGTCGTCGCCAAACCGGTCTGTGAGCAACCGGATAAAGTTCTCTACCGTAACCTCGTAGCCCCTATAATCCACTTCGATGTTGTCTCCATAGAGATCCAGTGCTCGATCCGCGTTGTTGTAAACAGTGCCGGGGAACACGTTTCGAGGGTTGCAAGCCATGTCATCTGGAAGCATGAGAATGATCTGGGAATCCGGAATGCCCAGTCGCTTGACAGTCCTATATAAGGACAAGACATTGGCAAGATGTCTATAGTTGAACCAAAACCGAGATGTCGAAACAAGGACGGCCCAATTCGATGTATGTTCAGCGGAGGAGAGGATACTTGCTCCAAGGAGGAGCAAGATTGAGAAAAATAACATATTGTCCAGCCAAAAGCGTAGTTACCGGCCTGGTATCTACGATGTTGTAGTCAAGAGACTACAATCGTAAGGGCACTTCAAGTGCCTGCTGTTCCTTGGTTGTAGACAGAATTACAAATACGTCGTTGAGGTCCGAAGTTAAGGGGAGAGTAGATACTTAACAGGGTCCAGACTTATGTAAGCTCAGCTCCTATCGTACAGAGTACACACGATTGCTTTAAAGTTCACATATATTTATTTGTTATGTACAAATCTCCTATATTGTCCAAAGTAATTCTCAGATCACATAGTGATGCAGCACCAACGACCAGCTACAAAGCGGACTTAACCTCGAATCCTCAATAAGGTACTCCATACTTGAGGTCAGATGGCTTGGTCACCTGTGGTTGGTCATTAGTACTATATCCTAGACATGCTAACCATTTAAGGCAGATACTTGTGTATTGTACAGGTAATTAATCCTTATATTTTACTATTGTGGTCTAAGTGTGATTACTAGTGCTTTGCAGATCTCGAGTTTCATTCCTGCCTGCCCGTCCACGATATGACGCCACCCGCCACTACATTAATTCCTGACAGACAATAGATTGTATTTACCATTCTGTGTATACCACAACGGCACTTCATATCCAAAGCTCTGTGCGCCCAGTGTATAGAAACCATCTCATTACATTTATTATCCAAATGTCTCTCCGGCCCCAGATAGTGTAGCTTCAGCACCAGTTCTGATCGCGCGGTCCTAGATTCATAGACACTGCGCTTTTGCGCAGAACGGTGCCATCATGGCTCTATCCAAATCGACGAGGATACAAATCCTCTTGGCCATAGACACACTATTCTTTTTATTGGAATTAACTGTTGGTATGTAGGGTCGATGGAGAACATGGGAATGGAAACTGACTGGTGGTGCAGGATACTCGGTTCATTCTCTTGCGCTTGTCGCCGATGCATTTCATATGGTATGCTATCATGATTCTCCGATTATCCTACAATAACTAACACGGACCAAGTTAAATGATGTGCTCTCATTATGTGTTGGACTGTGGGCTGTCAAGGTAGCCACGTCGAAGACTAAGTCAACTACATACACCTATGGCGTCAGTACTCATTCAGCCTACATCCAAGATGGTTGCTAACGCGCACGTAGTGGCAACGCGCAGAAACATTAGGGGCCTTGGTCAACGGAGTGTTCCTGGTCGCACTATGTCTATCGATCTTCCTCGAAGCGATTCAACGATTTGTCGAACCCCAAGAAGTTTCTCAACCACAGCTCGTTCTCGTTGTCGGGTGCTGTGGTCTCGCCTCCAATATCCTCGGTCTCTTCCTGTTCCACGAACATAGCCATGGGCCAGGCGGCCATGGGCACGATCACGAACATGGAGACGGCCTGGGTGCGGCAGAGGAAGGACACGCTCATCCCGAGGGGATTGACGAGGATCCAGAAACTCAAGCCATTGCTGACCCGACCGGAAATATCGAGGATGTCCTTCCAGAGAGCCAAGTTCAGAAGCAATCCCGAAGGAGGTTCTCCGGACAGCGGGAAGGCGATGGTTCCAGAACACCTTCGGGCAGGATTACGTCTCCTCTCCAGCATCGCAAAAAGCACAGCCGATCTCGATCAAGGGGCTATTCCAGTCTCGGAGAGATCCATGTCCACCCAGCCTCGTTCCGGAACGAGATCATCGCCGCAAGCAAGTTAGACAACATCGACTCGGGGTCAGGCACCGACACAGAGGAAGAGCAAGCTGTTGTGGACGAACCAACCGAAGCAGACCCCTTACTCAAAAGACAGTCCAACCCTTCCAGCCACAGCAAGCACCGGCCCCGAGCGGTGTCGGACGGCGCTCTTCATGCACACCACCGCCACGCTCAACCCCGAGGCGATGGCAAGTCCCACTCCCACTCCCACAGCGACCTCAATATGAAAGGCGTCTTCCTCCACGTCGTAGGCGACGCACTCGGCAACATCGGTGTCATCGCCTCCGCGCTCATCATCTGGCTCACCAAATCGCCCTACCGCTTCTACTCCGACCCTCTCATCTCCCTCATCATCACCATCATCATCCTCTGCTCCGCCGTCCCCCTTTGCAAAGCCGCGTCGCGCATCCTTCTACAAGCCGTCCCCATCGGCCTATCTGTCGACGACATCAAAGCAGACATCACCACACTCCCAGGCGTGCGCTCCTGCCACCACCTCCACGTCTGGCAGCTGAGCGACACCAAGCTGGTCGCGAGCCTGCACGTCCAAGTCGCGTTCCCAACCGGCATCTGCGACTCCAAAGGCGAGGGCTCCGCGCAGTACATGGCGCTCGCGCGGAGCATCCGCCGGTGCCTGCACGCGTACGGTATCCACTCGTCGACGATCCAGCCAGAGTTCTGCCTGGAGTCCGACCTCGGCCAGGAGAACGGCGTGGCGCATCACGATGGCCATCTGGACGAGGAGGATAGCTGCGGAGAGGACGACGATATTGGATCGGGGCGGTCGTCGAAGGGGAAGGGAAGCCGCGTGGCGAGCAAGGCGCCTAGTCGGTCAAGCTTGAGGGCATCGCCGGATGCGTGTCTACTGGAGTGTGGGGATGAGTGTGGGAATGGGAAGCAATGCTGTGTGCCGGATCGGGAGTTGGATCGGTGATCGGATACGCAGCAAAGGGTATGCGAAAGGAGTGGAGTTTGGCATCCCCAAGCCAGAGTGGTACTGTACGATCTAGGGAGAGTCACATACAGACCGGCTTGCGAGTGCCTCTTGTTTATTATAGAAATGTTTTAATACCGCGGTTGGCGACAAGCTGTCGAATGCCTTCATCCATATCATCACCATGCCACGGTTGGTGATCTTCTGGTCCGCACTCTAGACTAGACTCATCTTCCCCTTGATATCCCCTCCCCGTACTATATTCTCGCCCCTGGTGGCTCCTCTCCTCTGGTATCTCCTCGCCGGTGATATCTCCTCTTCACTGATGTCCCTTCTCCCCTAATATATCCTCTCCTCTGGCCTCCTATCCCCTGGTATCTCCTCTCGCTGGAAACTCCTTGCCCCTGGTATCCCCTCCCACGATATCCCTCGATCTTCCACATCGACCAGATTCGACAAAGTGGCAAGGCAACAAGGCATCAATACCTTATACGGCGATAAGGCGATAAGGCGCCAATGGCGCACCCCAGTCAACAAATCAGATCGGCGGGTAACAGTGGGCCAATCTCTCCCGCACTCACTCACTCACAGTCTCACAGATGATAACATTGCGAAGCAACCAGCGCAATACAATCGTGCTGTGAGCAACTCATATCTTGGAGACTCGTTCTTCCAAACCGTTCTTTTCTCCACCAAGCATTTGCCTATACAGCAGTTAGTTTAACCTTACCCGCATCCCTTCCCGCCAGTGTTTACTTAACTCCGGAACTCCAGCAGACCCCGCCACGCCCTCACACCCGGGCCGTACCTGCGATATCTAGATTCCACCATTTACCCGAACTGAGCAGTCCGATTCTAGGCTGATTCAGGCAAGATGTTGAAGATCTGGTCTATGGTAAGCGAGGAGAGGAAAGGGTATTTTGTTGTTGGATCTCACTAACCGCCACCCCAGAAGCAGAAGCAGCAGCAGGCTGAGAACGCCGCTGCGGGCGGTTCGAAGAAGAAGAAGATCACCGCCGCTCAACTTCGGGTCCAGAAAGGTCAATATCCTATCGCATTTTCTATCCACGATATCCGCCTTCGACAGCAACTAACCTCCCGCCGCCCCAGACCTCTCGGAACTCGCCCTAGGCAGCACGATGCGCACCGACTTCCCCGACCCGGACGACATCCTAAACTTCATCCTCACGATCGATCCGGACGAGGGCATGTACGTCGGCGGGCGGTTCAGCTTCTCATTCGCGATCAACCAGAACTTCCCGCATGATCCGCCCAAGGTCAAGTGTCGCGAGAAGATCTACCATCCGAACATCGATCTGGAGGGGAATGTGTGCTTGAACATCCTGCGGGAGGATTGGAAGCCGGTGTTGAACTTGAACGCGGTGATCGTGGGTCTGCAGGTGAGTGTAGTTTACAAGCGCAAGACTTGGGGAGGAAGGGTGCGGGACAGGTTGTATGAACAGAGGCTAATTGAATGTGATCAGTTCCTCTTTCTTGAGCCCAACGCGGCTGATCCCTTGAACAAAGACGCGGCGGAAGACCTGAAGACCAACCGAGAGTCGTTCAAGCGGAATGTCAGGGCGTCGATGGCCGGTGGTCAGGTCCGGAAGGAGAGATTCGACAAGGTCACGAAGTGATGAGGGGAGGACATCAACATCCCCAAATACAGAATTGTTTCGTGACGAGCTATCAGCTCTAGACTTCATTACCCAGGAGAACCTACCCACCAATATGGAGGCCGAGTGTTGGAATGGCATTGAAGCAGAGGAGGGTTGGACAACCGAAGGAATGGCCGGAGAGAGGGCCCAGTGTTGTTCATTTTGTTCTACGGGGCTGAGAACCATCGTCTAAGCGACACAGCGTGTATACAGCAGCCCCGATTCCTCACATAACGATGTCTATCATAGCAATAGACCACAAATTAGTCACCACTCACAAGTAGATAATTTTCATACAAAATGATCATAGGCAGTTAGGCACACAGCTAACAGTACTAGTACGCTACCTTACCATATAACTTAAAAGTTATAACTACCTGATTGGGTGATGGAATTAACGGAGCCGATGTCGGAGGCTGTGAGAGAGTGAGTAAGAATGTGTATGAGAAAGAGTGTGCAAACAGGAGAGTGGCAGAGACGCAGAGGGCACAAGCTCCAAGCTCGGCCCCCCCGGCAGCAAACTCCACTGTCCGACTCGGCTCGAGCTGCCAATAGACCGCCAATGAGGCAATGACTGTGCAGGACAAATTCTTCCCGCGGTGTGTGACTACGCTGAATTTCGGAATCACTATCTCCCTCTCCTCTTAACCCTCCGCAAATCTCAATTGCTTCTGCAATACATCAATCTCCAAATCTCCACTCTCATCAATCCCTCTCCATCCTTCCGAGATGTCGTCGCGCACCGCTACCCGAGCTCTGCGTGCTCAAGCCGCTCAGCTTGCGAAGCCAGCGGTTCAGCAACGTAGCTTCGTGACCGCCATCCAGGCTGCGAAGGTCGCCAATGGCGTTGCCGCGAAGAAGAGCACGGCTTCACTTTCGTTCCAGCAGACGCGAGGTGTGAAGACGATTGACTTCGCCGGAACCAAGGAGAAGGTCTACGGTAATTGAGCCCGGAGAAAGGCGGTGTACAAAGGATTCGTTACTGATGACTGTTACAGAGCGTGAGGACTGGCCGAGGGAAAAGCTTCTTGTAAGTCATTGAGCTTTACAAACATACAATCCAAGAGGCTGATCCAGATTCCAGGAATACTTCAAGAACGACACCCTCGCTCTCATCGGCTACGGCTCGCAAGGTCACGGCCAAGGTCTCAACCTGCGCGACAACGGCCTGAATGTCATAATCGGCGTCCGGAAAGATGGCACCTCATGGAAGGAGGCTCAGCAAGACGGCTGGGTCCCTGGCAAGAACCTGTTCGACATTGACGAGGCCATCACCCGTGGTACCATCATCATGAATCTGCTGAGCGACGCCGCCCAGAAGGAGACCTGGGCGCACATCAAGCCGCAGTTGACCAAGGGCAAGGTATGTCAATTGGATCCTTCCATCTCCACACCCATAAAACCAATTGAATGACCACTAACCCATCCCAGACCCTCTACTTCTCCCACGGCTTCTCCCCCGTCTTCAAGCACCTCACCACCGTCGAAGTCCCCAAAGACATCGACGTCATCCTCGTCGCCCCCAAGGGCTCCGGCCGCACCGTGCGTACTCTCTTCAAAGAGGGCCGCGGTATCAACTCCTCCGTTGCCGTCTTCCAGGATGTCACCGGCAAGGCCGAAGAGAAAGCCGTCGCCCTCGGCGTCGCCGTCGGCTCCGGCTACCTCTACAAGACCACCTTCGAAAAGGAGGTCTACTCTGACCTGTACGGTGAACGCGGCTGCCTCATGGGCGGCATCCACGGCATGTTCCTCGCCCAGTACGAGGTGCTCCGCGAGCGCGGCCACTCGCCCTCCGAGGCCTTCAACGAGACCGTCGAGGAGGCTACCCAGAGCCTGTACCCGCTCATCGGCGCCAACGGGATGGACTACATGTACGCCGCGTGCTCGACCACCGCGCGCCGTGGCGCCATCGATTGGAGCAAGAAGTTCCGCGAGGCGCTGAAGCCCGTGTTCAACGAGCTGTATGATCGCGTCGCCGACGGTAGCGAGACGCAGCGATCGCTGGACTATAACAGCCGCCCGGATTATCGGGAGTTGTATGAGAAGGAGATGAAGGAGATCCAGGATTTGGAGATCTGGAGGGCGGGCAAGGCCGTTCGGTGAGTTTATTTCTTCCTTCTCCCTTTCATGCCATTGTGCCTCTGATGAATTGGTGGTCAATCACTAACGGTATAACAGCTCTCTCCGCCCGGAGAACATCAAGTAAACGGCTCGGTATATATCTCGGCCGGTCTAGACCATTGAAGTTTATGGGCTTGCTTGACCTCGCAAGAGTCGAATTTCCTTTTGTATTATAGGCGCTGGATCCGGTCGAGCATTCAAAAGAATTCGATTTATGGCTGCGCCTGTTTACACTTGTTTATGAGATCAAATTGAGATTTTTATTCGACATTGCTTATTTACTAACATCGTATGACCATTACTTAAAGCACGCCGGCGTCGTCCATTCGCTGCCAACTCTCTCGTCTCTCCTTCACGGTGATCGACCACACTAGATATCTAATGGCAGCCATCCCAAATTCATGCCCTACGTCGTGGTGTCACTACGCACTCCGCCCCTTGAACTGGTCCCTCGCACAAGGGAGGTAAAGAATGATCGGCTTGTCCTTCTCGGCTCGCCCGAAGAACGCAGCCGGATTGTCGGGCCAGCAATCAGTTCTATGGGGACACTTGAGATAGTACTCAGATGCCATTAGAATGCTCGGATATTCTCCATAACTTCATAAGACGACGCATTATAAGACATTTCAAATACCGTTATAGTGTGAACCCTCTCAAGGGTGAAGATGATTGCCGCTACAGTACCTACCGCATCGGGAAGTCGCCAGGGTCGTTCCCACCTATTTGCTTTGATACCGTGATGATCCATCTTCCTACCAGTCGATGCCACCGGATTCATTCTCTTTGATCACACAAGACCCGAGCAGACTCGTTTATAATGGCGATCATCTCCCTCAATTTAAGATAATGAAACTGTCTTATTCACATCTCAAAAGCAAAGAGCCCCAGGAGTCTGGCCAGGTGGATGGGATAACCCCGCAGTGCTCGAAACATGAAGCCAGGGGACCAGGAAAGCGATCTATCCTCCCACCACAGTGGTGTGAGCAATCCTGGAAGTGGAACAAACAATTTGCAGCGAGAAGGAACGAAATGAATCAGTGGAATAATGGGATTGTATGTCGCAGACCCAGGCAAGAACTGCAAGAGTGACGATCAGGCGTCAGCTGTCAGGACTCAGGATACTGCAGCACATCCCCCTGCCGGGCCTGGTTCCTGCCACTCCTTACTTGCTGTATTCCTGAACTGGCCGAACACTTCATTCTCAGCCGCTTCAAAGCAGATTGAGGCACGGAGAGATGAATATGTCGAAATCGTCTTTTGCCTAGAGACGTGGTTGGGGATGTGGAGTCAAGCCAGCGATCTGAACCCTGAAGACTCCTAATGGGGAGGTATCATATATCTGATATCAACATAACCACGTGGAGGAAGCAGGAGACAGATCACCATCCTGCTATTCGGTTGAACCGGAGATGTCAGGTCGAAGTTCAGGGAACTAGGCGAGCAGTCAGAGAAACCCGGGAACACATCTCATGATTCACCATGACTTCTGGGATTCAATCCTTTGGCCGAGAGACAAGAACCAAGGACAATTATTTTGAAACGCACTGCAACATCTGGAGCCACTCTCATCGCACTGTCACCGTGTGATTGGACGGAGGCGCCATCCGTACCTGAATTTGTTTCGGTTACGCATGGGCAGCAAGGGATCCCTGGATGAACGGTCAAATCGACCTCCTCGACTCCGCGCCTTGCCTGACCACTATCACGGTCCCACCCTCTATCCCTCCGACCAAGAAACAGACTTATGTTTGGAACATCGGACCTAGAACACGTTTCTGAACAGGACATGACCCCTTGGCTTGCCACGGTGGTGACATTTAACCTTTGCGCTATGGCTTGCCTCGGACATATGCCCTTGAATAGGCGCTTGTGTTTCCCTATTGATGCTCCAGTCCTTATTGACCCGCAGCAATGTTCAATACTCCGTATTGTTCAACTTCTAAATAGCGCCCGCACCCGCACTGTGAATAGGATGCGTGTGAATTTTTGACTCCAGCGTCTTATCAAAAGCGTCTCCCTTTCTTTGAGTCCTTCCTTTATATTCTCGCGACCTTCTCTGGAGAACACTCGCTTCTTTCTCCTTCCCGCATCCTCTGAGAGGCCTTTGAGCAGAACACTCCCTGAAACGACTGCCATCATGCTCTTCTCTTCTTTCCTTCTTGGGCTCACGCTCACCAAGTTCGGCATAGCTGGCTATGTACTGGAAGACGACTACAGCCCCTCGAACTTTTTTGACAAGTTCGACTTTTTTACCGCACGGGACCCGACACATGGATTTGGTGAGTTCGCCATGCTTGGACAGAACCCTTAATTGCCCACTGCAAATTTCACCTGTCAAGGATAGATGTTCGCATACCTCAGACTACTGACGGTATCCCAGTCCAATATGTCGACAAGGGTACCGCCCAGGGGTCCGGACTGATCAAGACCTCATCAGACTCCATTTATATGGGTGTCGATACGGAGAATGAGACTCCCAATGGACGGCCAAGCGTGCGGATAACGAGCAAGAAGGCGTATAACTCCGGACTCGTTATCCTCGATCTATCGCACATGCCCGGAAGCGTCTGCGGAACTTGGCCTGCGTTCTGGATGGTGGGACCGGACTGGCCTCACGGGTAATTCATTTTCTATATGCGAACAACAATGCGTGTGCCGACTTATTGACTTTACACAGCGGAGAGATCGACATCATCGAAGGCGTCAATGCCCAGCAATCCAATTCCATGGCCCTACACACTGCCCCCGGCTGCACCATCAATCCCAGCACTGTCAACCGCGCTTTCACTGGCCAAATCCACACTCCCAACTGCGACGTCAAAGCCCAAGGCCAATCCGCCAACGAAGGTTGCTCCATCAGGGCCCCGGAGAATCACCAAGCCACCTACGGCGACGACTTCAACGCCGCCGACGGCGGAGTCTACGCTACGGAATGGACCGAAGACTACATCGGCATCTGGCACTTTCAGCGCAACGCCATCCCCGAAGATATCAACAGCGGCACCCCGGACCCAACGAAATGGGGTCGCCCGATCGCCCTCTTCCACGGCGGCTGCGACTTCTCCAAGGCGTTCCAGGAGCAGCGGATCGTCTTCGACACCACCTTCTGCGGGGACTGGGCGGGGAACGTCTTCTCGAGCGACTCCACGTGCGCAGCGAAGGGGAATTCGTGCAACGCGTTTGTTCGGGATAATCCGAGCGCGTTTACGGAGTCGTTCTGGCGGGTGCGGTCGCTGAAGGTCTACCAGCAAGATACCCATGACGGGTTTATCGGACTTTCACCAAGTGAGCCGTTAAGCAGCAGTCAGAGCATCAGTCAGAGCAGCAGAAGCAGCAGCAGCAGTGTGGGAAGCAGTGTGAGCAGTGGCAACAGCTCATCCCCTGTGACAGCCACGACATTCGTGACGTTCACACGGCCGGCGAGTGTACCGCAGTCGCCGTCTAAGGCTCCGGTAAGCATCACATTGTCTCCTTGTTTTTCCTAATTTCTCTCTTCTCATTCCGTTTAGCCTGGTTCCGATTCGGCTCCTGCAATCGTCACCAAGACGGAAATTCGGACTGTCTACGGCCCCCCTCCCACGGAAGTTGTCCCGCTCGAAGAGGAGAGGACGACCGTCACACAGATGGTAACCGTATATTTGAAAAGCACTGGATCGTCTTCATGAGGCGTTCTGGTGTTTGCGGCAATAGACTCCTTCGACGGATTATGATCGGCGTCTCCCTGGTTTGGGAGTCATGGAATGTCGACTCAGGCATTCATTCCTTCATCAACATCGCCACCCCCCGGATCTTCCACGTTGCCAATCTCCTCTAATGACTCCACGATCGCTACGACTCACGGCCTATGACGGGATTTTCCGACGCCGTCACGACTCTCTACTTCCAAGTCCTTTTCCTTACTCTCTCTCTCTCTCTCATATCCTACGACACCCGCTGGACCCGGCCACTAACCTCCCCCACCAGACCAACACCATCCCTCACATCCGCACCCGCTCCCGCACCCGTGCGCGCACTCGAATTCCCCTCCACACCCAACTCCACCCCCCTCCACCTCCACCTCCGCCTCCTCCCGTCACCCCAACCTTCACGCTTCCCTCCGACCCCCAATCCCCCAACACCCCTCTCCCGTTCCCGCTGTTCACCCTCCCCGACGATATCGAACCCGCAAACGAGAAGCCCGTAGATGCCGCTGCGGTGGTGCGGGTGGGAGAGAATGCGCGACCGGTTATGACGGCGCCGGCGGAGGGGATGGGGGTGTTTGTAGGTGCGTACCGGTGACGGAGGTGGATATAGACATGGGATAGAAATTGGCGGGGTGGGACAGCATTCGCTTCTTGTACATATGTGAGCCTGGTGGGCGTTCGGTGCGCCAGGCATTTTCGATTCGTGACGCGCGTTACGAGACGTGTTTGTCGACGGTGGGGATTGACGACTTTATGAAAGGATACGGAAGACCTGATACCATGGGAGGATCGGGTGTTCGGGTTTATATATACACGGCATACCGAGCGGTGTATGTATGGGGATATAGGCAAAACTTCATAGAGCAATGCGGATATGCAGGTATTCGCCAACCATCATATGGAACACGAGCTATCGTTTTTGAACGTCTATGATTTGATTTACATTAGAGGCAGGAGAGCCAAAGCTCAATCGCCACCGTTTTGCATGACTGCATCTATGTTTGATGAAGCGCTCGCCGTGGCGTCCTGAGGTTTTCCAGCCGGCTTCTTCTACTTTTTCACGGTGTCTTTCGATGCTTTCCCCTGAATCTCCTCTGGCTTCCTCGCCGCCTCCTCTAGGCCATCCTTCCCGTTCTTCGATGTCTTTTCCTGACTCTCCCCTTCCTTCCCCGCCTTGTCCGCCTGCGCCTTCACCTGCATCTCCACCTTCCTCCGCCTCTTCAACTCCCGCTTCGACAACGCCTCCCCCCCCTCCCCCAACGCCTCCACCTCCCTCTTCCCATTCTCATTCTTCCCCCCCCTCCCCTTCCCCTTCCCCTTCTTCCCCTCCCTACTCTCCTCCTCCTCCACCACCACCGGCCGCTCCCCCCCGTCCACCACCCCAATTGTCCCTCGATACACCCCCCGCCTCGCCTCCTCCCGCCGCAGATACTCCCCTGCCTCCCGCACCAGCGCTTCATAGGCCCGCTCGGCGCCGAGTCCCCATACACTCGCGGCCAGATTAATCACGTCGGCTGGTGCGCGCGCGGCCAGGGCGGTGCGCGCCCCGGAGCTGATGACGATGCCACGGTAGCGCAGGGCGCGCAGCAACGCGGTGGCATTGGAGATGAGATTGCGATGGGCGTCGCTGGCGGAGGTATTCTGCGCGTCGGAGGCGGAAGGGGGTTGGGTAGCGGCGGCGTACGCAATCTCGAAGCAGCAGCCGCGCTTGACGGCAGCGTTTAGGGTGTGGTGTTTGGAGTTGAGGTGGAAGGGGAGGCGGTGGGCGAGGTCGAGGGAGATGAGGGAAGGGGGGAGGGAGGTACAAGCGAGGGTGAGGGACTTTTCG